TTTTTGAAATGCAATTTAAAGCATTTTTGGTTTCGATCATAGTAGGCTATTTTCAAAAAAATTACGATTTTATATCTATATAAACATTCTTTATCATTTATAATACCTAGATATGTCTTAAAATGTAATTTAAAGCATTTTTGGTTTCGATCATAGTAGGCTATTTTCAAAAAAAATATCGATTTTATATCTATATAAACATTCTTTATCATTTATAATGCCTAGATATGCTTTAAAATGCAATTTAAAGCATTTTTGGTTTTGATCATAAAAGGCTACTTTCAAAAAATATTGATTTTATGTCTATATAAACATTCTTCATGATTTATAATACCTAGATATGTTTTGAAATGCAATTTAAAGCATTTTTGGTTTCGATCATAGTAGGCTATTTTCAAAAAAATATTGATTTTATATCTATATTAGCATTCTTTATCATTTATAAGACCTAGATATGTTTTAAAATGCAATTTAAAGCATTTTTGGTTTCGATCATAGCAGGCTATTTTCAAAAAAATATCGATTTTATATCTATATAAACATTCTTTATCATTTATAATACCTAGATATGTTTTAAAATGCAATTTAAAGCATTTTTGGTTTCGATCATAGTAGGCTATTTTCAAAAAAATATTGATTTTATATCTTTATTACCATTCTTTATCATTTATAATACCTGGATATGTTTTAAAATGCAATTTAAAGCATTTTTGGTTTCGATCATAGTAGGCTTTTTTTAAGAAAAATATCGATTTAAATATATTAGCTTCCGCGTGGAACACGGAAGGTGTTTCTTTATGTCGTTCAAATTTTGTCACCCAATCTACAGGTCCACCGTATTATCCAAAAGTAATGATTTATATGGTAAAATTTAGCCCTTTTCGTCTTGTAGGGAAAGTGTTTCGTCTTGTAATAAAAGTGTAAAGCATGATTTCATTCATATTTGATCATCAGGTCCGAAAGGAACCGGTCAGTTCCGCAAAAAAAATTTTGGCATCAAGAGGTGATTCTTTGATGAAAAAGCAACAAAAAAAATTTTTGTGGATGTATAGGAACTAGTCAGTTCAAGTGCCTATTCTTGCTTATGACTCATTAAACAAACGTAGATTGCTTTGGTACTGTAATAAAACACATTTAAGATTTTAAAAGCATTGAAAGCAGGTAGTTCCTTATATGCAGTTAGATCCAGGCATGCTTGATAAAGTTCAGTTATTTATACAGTGGGGGAAATAATTATAGGCGAATGGATATTTTCAAAATTCTCGAAAATATAAACATTTTCAGAAAATATGTTCTATGTGAAATTTGTGCAGCTTAATATGACGAATATCCCAGCGAAAAAATTTTTTAATTATATTAACTAGAAAAAAAATAACGGCCATTTTTTTGAAAAATATGCGTTTCGCAAGTGGAAATAATTAAAAGCGAATTTTGATAAAAACTGTAAAATTTTACTTTAAACTTAAATTCACTTGAGTTTTCAATTGATTAAGTTATTTTAACATTGTATCAATCCAATTTGACATTATACGCACAATAATTAATGATTTAAATATATAAAATTTGATCTTGAAATTAGCAAGGAATAAGATTGCAAAAATCAATGTTTTACGCCAATTTGGCAACGATAACTTCTCGATTGCATATGAAATAATTAGATTTTATTGCAATTAACATAGCTCAATAAAAATTTGTTGAAAATATATCTTGTTCAATCTTTTTAATATCTTCTTTAAAACATAGATATGATAAAAAAGCAAGTAGAAATCATCCTTAGTTTGTAGCCAAAACTTTCATTTGAGTGAAAATTTTAAAAATTTCTCGTTTGTATTGGCCATGTGATCAAAAATTTTCTTTATTTTTCCTTTTTCTGGCTACATTTTCACCAAATTTTTATTGAGCTACGTTAATTGCAATAAAATCTAATTATTTCATATGCAATCGAGGAGTTATCGTTGCCAAATTGGCTTAAAACATTGATTTTTGCAATCTTATTCCTTGCTAATTTCAAGACCAATTTTCATATATTTAAATCATTAATTATTGTGCGTATAATGTCAAATTGGATTGATACAATGTTTAAATAACTTAATCAATTGAAAACTTAAGTGAATCTAAGTTTAAAGTAAAATTTTACAATTTTTTTCAAAATTCGCTTTTAATTATTTCCACTTGCGAAACGCATATTTTTCAAAAAAATGGCCGTTATTTTTTTTCTAGTTAATATAATTAAAAAATTTTTTCGCTGGGATATTCGTCATATTAAGCTGCACAAATTTCAAATAGAACATATTTTCTGAAAATGTTTATATTTTCGAGAATTTTGAAAATATCCATTCGCCTATAATTATTTCCCCCATTGTATGTAAGCAGCAAGGCACAGAAGATTAAAAATCACGAATTGGATTTCGTTTAACTCAAAGAGCATGGAACCATTGGTTTCTGTTACCTTTATATGGAAGAATTTTAAAATCCCAATAAAATCTTTCATACAAGAGATTTAAATCAAAATTCCCAAAAAATCCTTTGAAAAAATGGTTTAAATCAAAATCGAGAAAAAAATCACTTGGGAAAGATAACTTAAATTAAAAACCCTTTTTATATTCACACCGTTTTCACGTGTGAATCTATTGGTTTTGTTCAGATTGAAAAATCAGTTTTTCGCATTTTGTGAGAAAACAAAGCAAAATTGGTTATAAAAGGTCACAGAAGAAAAGTTTGTGCCTGAAATTTTACATCATTTTCAAAAAACAGATTTCAAATTGGTTGAAGTATTGCTGAGAAAATCACAAAATACGCTTTCTGTAAGCAAGCAAACAAGCAAGTTAATCAACAAGAAATCTCAATAACGAGACATCGTAGAGATTTCTAGTTTTTTACATTTGATCCGTGCTGCTCTATAGAAGAGCTGTTTTGTTTTTGGACAAGGTAGGAACAGCCGTTGCTTCAGAAATAGCAAAAAACTTTCCTTTTTTACGAATTTTTTAAAACAAAAGTTGACTGTGATTTTTATAAAATTCAACTTTGGATGACTAAGACTTTTGATAAAACGGTGTGAATATAATCCGCATTGAGATTTAAATCAAAATCAAAAATAATTTCAAAGATTTTGATTTAAATCGCAAAAAATTTTCTCACCCTGCCTACAGTTTATATTGGGATCCGACCCACTTGCAAAATAAATATTTTAAAATTTTTCTGGATAAAAAAGCTTTTAGAAGTGCTTTTAAAATTAATTTTCATACTTTCCCGCACAATTTATTTAAGAATTTTTAACATTTAACGGATTTTTATACTTGCACGTGGGCAATTTCATGGATTGACTTTTTCAAAAAAAAATCGTCATTGAAACTATATTTCTCTTTATTAAGCTATCTAGACGTTCTAAGGACCAAATTAACTTACGAAAAAACGGTAAATTCTATCGTTTTGTTGCAATTGGCTTTAAATAACAAAATATTAACTTCTGACTATTGATTTACAGTCTGTTACACTTTGTTTTATGAATCTGCATATATAATTTACTTTATAAAGCACTTATTAAGCAGGAAATAGAAGAATATTAATTCAATTATTGTATTACACTGATCTCCAAAACGCCCTCAGACAAAATTTTCGGGTGATATGAAACACATGTGTTTCCAGAAACACCACTTGCAATTGTACGTGGTGAATAAAAACACACGTGTGATTTTATCCACCACTTGGAAATATATGTGGTGAAATTTGGGTAAGGACTCTGGTCTGTGGGTGATTTAAAGCTGCATCATTCTAATTTGTTAAACATTACTTTGAAAGATACATCGAAAAAATAGAATTTTAAAATTTTGAATTCTGTATTTTTTCACGGAATAAATCTCTCCGTTACTTAGTAACATTCTTTTAAGTCACATAGAAATTGATATTGTAGCTTAATTAAGCACTTTTGAGTTAATTTAATGCTTGATTTTGGTAGCTTGATAATCAATCTTTGTGTTGAGACAGTCTTCATTATTAACAAACTTCGGAAAGGAAAGGAAAATCACTTTAAGTGAGTCTCCAAATTATTTTTTTTCGATTGTGTTACAAAGTAATGCCAAAAAAAATTGAAATAATTCTTTAATTAACCACTTTAAGTAAGCATATTTCAGTCAATTAAGTAGAAAATGTTGTTTTTAATGGCCTACGAGAAGCTTATTTGCAGTAGAATAGTCTATAGATGTAAAAATCAATTTGGAGAAAAATTTGTAGACAAACCGTTTCATGGAATTGCCCATATTCAACAAATTCAATGACTGAAAAGATAAAGTTTTAGAATCCTTTGCTGCCTCGATTTTAAAACAATCCGCAAGACTTAATTACAGCTTGAGCTGAAAAATTAATTTAAACGTAGATAAATCTTCACCAATTTATAATTACTAAGCAAATAAATTTCAATTATATTTGTTCAAATAAATAACAAAGGATCAAGATTTATTGCATTTGCTGCATACATGGAAGTAAATGAGTTTACATCTTGATTACTGTATAATTTCGCGTTAAGTTGTGAACTGTAAATAATTTGCAGGTGATTTTGTAGTACTTTCCCTCCCTTGAACAATGTTAATTATTGATTTATTTGAATTAATAGTTTTAAATATGATTTATGAAAATGTAAAGTCATTATGAGTTTAATCTATCGCATCTCAATTAAGTCATTATTTTCTAATCAATTAATTTTTACAGAGGAGAATAATTTTAAGGAGCGTGGGAACTTTATTGATTATCTCATTAATTCTTAAACTTTGAATAGAGTCACATATTTGTGAGTTAAAACTTTTCTTTTTTACTGAATTTGCTTCATCGATTTCGAACTCTTGAATTATGTATCCATGTCTAAAAGCGGAAAAGTGTGAGAAATGAGACTTTAAAAACGCTATTCATAAGAACAATAGCCAAAATATCAAGAGTTTAGCATAATTTACAAGCTCTGAAAATAAATCAAAAGCTTAAAAATTATGTAAGTTAATACTCAATTATTTTTCTTATAAAGTTAAAAGATCAAGTTTTTATTAAGCAAATGGAAGATTCAATGGAGAAAGGATCTGTGAGAATTGTTTTTAAATAATCAAAAATCTTAAAGTTTATTTTCCATAATATCCTCCGTGATGATGCCCGTGATGATGATGATGTCTAAAATAAAGTAATAATTTTACAAAATTTATTAAAAAGAAACGTTTCTTTTTCTTACCCCCCTCCATATCCACCATAACCTCCATATCCTCCATATCCTCCGTAACCTCCTGGATATCCACCTATTTCATGAAAGAAGAAGATTTTTTTTTAAATTAATAAGTGAATAAATAAGGTTTAACAAGGTAATATCATTTTTTGAGTTTTATATCTAAGAAAGGACTTATTCTCATTTTTGAGTTCAATTCTGATATCTAAATGAAAGGGATGTGTTTCGTTATTTTCAAAAGTCATAAGTAAACGATCTCTAAGCGATTTTACAACTTTTGAAAGCGTTTTTAAGACAAAAATGTCAACGAAGATCGATTGATTCTTGAAAACTTACCATAGCCTCCTCCAAAACCTCCTCCATATCCACCATATCCACCTGGATATCCAAATCCTGTAGAAGAGAACATATTAAATAAGATGCGATTTTAAAAATGGTCTAATTTAAGTTTTTAAAGAAGTTTGAGTGTTTTGAGGAAGTAATTCTTATTTTTTGAGTTCGTCAACCTTTAGATTCAATTTAACACTAATAAGGTATTTTCTTATTATCTTTTCTTTAGAATAACATAATTTCAAATTATGACGAGAATCTAGACCCCCTCATAGTACTCCTAAGTGTTTGAACAACTTCAGATGAATTTACCGTTCTTTAATTTATAAAAAAATTTTTTCAACACAAAAAGAATTGAATCTTGAAGATTCTCGATTCTAGAACTTCAATCAACTGAATCGAAAAAAATTACAAAACTATTCTGTTCGACTTTTCCACAAAACATTGTAGCTAATCAACTGTCTTTAGATCAAAATTAAACAATATTTAATTAAACTCCAAGATCTGTAAATGTTCAAGTTCACTAACCACCAAATTGACGTTTTGGACGTGCAACATCACTTTCATCATCATCTGAGCTTTCAGCCTCTAAATCTACAAGAGCTACTGGCTCGTCCACAATTTCTTGATTCTGCCCAATCTCCTCAACAGGAAGGGCGTATGCAATGGCAGCAAATAATGCCAAAACTATTAAGAGCTTCATTTTTATATAATTTTTCAACTTTATCCAACGCGTTCAAGACACAAATTAAAACTGAAAAGGCTACAATGTAAAAACATCTTATATACTCTCTCATTGAGTAAAAAGCTGAATAGTCGTGGAGATAATCAGTAAGTATCAAGTAATGTGACATCACACGAAAGAACGGTGCTAAAAGAGCGGAGAGAAGAGAAGAAAAAGTACAAAAACCGGAATGATCATTGTAATGAAGCGGCGTCAAGAGGAAAAACCCCTGATTGTACTTGCCTAGGATTATCATCGCGTGTCGACTCTCAATTTCTAGTTTAATTAATTACATTCTTGAATATACTTCTTAAGTCCAATGACAGCGGAATTTAAGAGGAAATAGTTTAAGTTTTATTAAGTTTAAGTTTGACTGGGAATCGCCTTTGTTTGTTTTCGGACTTAACAGCTGTTTAAATTGTTTCTTATTGTTAGAAGTTGTAAACACAGAAAAAAAGAAGATAAAGCTGTGTATTGTCAATGAGGCTTTAGTGACATTTATCGTCCGAACTTGTGAATCTTAAGTAAAGTTTACTTTACATTGATATGCTTTTAAGCTTGTACCTAGCTTTCGTTCTGATAATGGCAAAAAGAAACAATAAATATAGGCTTTCATTTTTGGACTAGATATCACAGATTGATTTCACTTTATTCAGTCACCTCAATTATGGAAAACAAATTAATTACATAAATTAGATCAAAAGATGTAGTAATTGATAAAATAGAAGTAAAAGATGCTTAATTTAAAGGAACCTCGTAAGTGAATGACCTCTAAACAGACGAATTAAATACAAAAAATTATTTTTGATTCCGGTTTATTTACAAAACATTCTCACATTTTCATCTAAAAAGTCTTTCATTGTTTGATAGCTGTAAAGTTCTTAGTTTACACTTAGTCATCCTGAAAACTTAAGCAGATTAAAACAACAGATTTTTTTTATTGAATAAAACTTGAATGGAGGTTTATTTAAATTTTAAAAGAAAGAACATGATTATTATTTGCCGTGATGCCCATGGTGCCCATGATTTCCATGATGCCCATGCTGATTTCCCGTGCCAAATCCACCACTGTTTGAAAACAGACGATTAAAGTTTAATAAAAGTGTTTTATGTAAAAATTTATGATTTTTTACCCTTGATATTGGCCTTGTTGTTGTGGATATCCACCTCCTTGTTGTGGATATCCACCTCCTTGTTGTGGATATCCAGCTCCTTGTTGTGGATATCCACCTCCTTGTTGTGGATATCCACCTCCTTGTTGTGGATATCCACCTCCTTGATGTGGATATTGTCCACCTATAATTGTTATTTTTTTTTTCATTTTTGCACTCAATTGACAAAGACTTAGCCAAATACTAAGTCACAATATATCGTACCTTGTCCAGGATATGATGCAGGATTAGGCAATCCAACTGTTGTGGAGAAATTAACAAATTGTTATTGTGAAATTTTTAAAGCACGTTCTTTATTGAACAATTATTAACACTGATTATTAAGAATTAAAACTTGATCACAGCAGTATGCAGTAATCTTCAAAATGTCTAAAACACTAACCGAACTGACGCTTCTGTCGCACATCATCAACACTTTCGTAATCCGAATTATTAGCTTCCAAATCAGCCACAAATAATAGTGGATCTGCAACTTCTTGATCCTGACCGTAGCTTTCAATAGGAAGAGCGTATGCAACGGCAGCAAATAATGCAAAAATTATCAAAAACTTCATCTTTATTATTTTTCCGATCTTTAACTTTATCTAATGAGCTTGAAACACTAAGCGAGACTGAAAGTTTCTTGAAAATGAAAACTGCTTATATAGCATGTTAGTACAGTCCTGAAAAGTAAAAAGATATATTTCTAATAAATTAAATTATTTCAATAGCATCATCCAAAATTATTATCCTGTGTGTTAGATTTTAACAGGGTAGGTCAGAAAAGTTTAAGTTAGAATGATCGCTGTAACTGAAACGATGCTTTCATATTCTTAAGAATTTTTTTCACTTGCTACAGTAGCGTGCAAAAGTGAGTGGACAGAACAAATTTTTTAATAGTTTCGTTCAAAAAGTATCTTCCACTGAACGAAATCACTTCAAATTTTCACAGTATATCTAATTTTTGAAGAGATTTCATATGAAAAACAAATTTTGTACTATAATTAAGTAATTTGAAAAAACCGTTAAATATTCAAAATCGATAACGTGCAAAAGTGTGTGGACAATTTTCAATGACAAAAAAAAGTGTTAATAAGTATGTTATGGTAACTTTTTAAGATGGAAATCTAAAGTTTTGACGATTTTCTTAATTTACGTTCAAAACCACGTGTTTTCTCGATTTTTCTTAAGCAACTTTTAAGCAAATATGTCATATAATTCAATCTTAATTAACTTAGACTTAACTGATTTATATAGTATTTGTAATAAGCTTTCAGAAAATATATAGTTTATTATAGTAAAAGTTGATATTATGCAAAAAAATTATAGAAATATTTTTTTCATTGGCGATTTTCTCACAGTACAGAACATTAAATTGAGGAAATCTTGATAAATAATTTGCATATAAAAGACTTTGGTATCAATTTATTGCATTTTATTTGTATTAATTAATTGTTAATTTTGCAAAAATTTATTTTTCATTATTTGAGAAGTTCAATTGACATTCTATTTGACAGCTTGTTACTTGATGGATAATTTTTTTAGTAAACTGAAATTACTTATATAATTTTGTACAAATAAAATGCAATAAATTGATACCAAAAAGTCTTTTATATGCAAAGTATTTATCAAGATTTCCTCAATTTAATGTTCTGTACTGTGAGAAAATCGCCAAAGAAAAAAATATTTTTATAATTTTTTTGCATAATATCAACTTTTACTACAATAAACTATATATTTTCTGAAAGTTCATTACAAATACTAAGTTATTTAAGATTGAATTATATGACATATTTGCTTAAAAGTCATTAAAAATAGTAGCCATTTTGAATTTAAGAAAAATCGAGAAAACACGTGGTTTTGAACGTAAATTAAGAAAATCGTCAAAACTTTAGATTTCCATCTTAAAAAGTTACCATAACATACTTATTAACACATTTTTTTGTCATTGAAAATTTTCCACTCACTTTTGCACGTTATCGATTTTGAATATTTAACGGTTTTTTCAAATTACTTAATTATAGTACAAAATTTGTTTTTCATATGAAATCTCTTCAAAAATTAGATATACTGTGAAAATTTGAAGTGATTTCGTTTAGTGGAAGATACTTTTTGAACGAAATTATTAAAAAAATTGTTCTGTCCACTCACTTTTGCACGCTACTGTACGTTCCACTGAAATAAATTTATCTTTGAACTGTTTCTTTGGAAACATGATTTTGATATTCTGCATTTTTATTTGTCCGAGTCTTTGTTAAAATGACGTAAAGAGCACACTCTAAGGAACTATTGTCATTAAATGAGCTTCTTGTTAAAAATGAATCTGAAAAAGAATCGATCAGAAGAAGACAGAAACAAGTAGCTGTCTTGTAATAATTCGATGTATAGTTCTTTCTCAGAGCTATTGACTTAAGCTACTTTTGAATATCAATTTATTTAAAATTATCGCTCGCAGAATGAAAATTGAGTCAAAAGTTACAAAATCATAGATTTGATTAAATCTCGTACATGACCCATAAAACAATAAATATTTCTTTGTGTGCTGATCGATTATTTTCCGCTATAATGACCTCTTCCACTGTGTCCTTGATTCCCGGTGCTAATTCCAACACTTTTGAAAAACAATTAAAGCTGGATTTGAAAAGAATTAAACATAATAATTGATGCAAACTTACTTTTGTCCAGAAAATCCAGCTCCTTGTTGTCCAGAGAATCCAGCACGTTGTTGTCCAGAAAATCCAATTTCTGTTGGATATATGCTGTTTTGTCCATTAAATTGTCCATGGAAAAAGTGATTAGGGAATCCATCTGTTATGAAGAAATCACCAAATTAATTAAGTAATAGTAAGGATCACAGGAATCACCAAGTCGTTTCAAAAAATTGAAAGACTAACCAAACTGACGCTTCTGTCGTCCACTTTCAACATTTTCGTAATCCAAATTATTAAAATCTAAATCAGCCACAAATAAAAGTGGTTCTGCCATCTCTTGATCCTGGCTGAATTCTTCAACAGGATGAGTGAGTACAATGGCAGTAAATAATGCCAAAATTATTAAAAACTTCATCTTAAACTCTAACTTAATCCAATTAGCTTGAAACGCAAAACGAGACTGAAAGTGTTTAAAAAATCATTAATGCTTATAAAGCGGGTTAGTCCTGAAAAGTAAAAATAAAGAAATGTCATATCATCACACAAAACTGTTATCCAGTGTTAGAACAGGGGAGGTTAAAAGTATAAAGATCGCTTCAACAAAAGAGATGAAAACTCCTATTTGCAATTCTGCAAGCTTGATTCCACTAAAATTAATTTATTTTGTTTTGGTTATTTTTTGGAACCACGATCTTGACATTTTGCTAAAATAATTTACCATCTAGAAGTTTCTACAGATTATGGATGGCACCAGCTATTGCTCGATTATTTACAGCGTAATTTTGACTGTGACGTAGATGATGATTATCTCTTAAACAGTGTGCCGAGAGCGTTTTTCATGCGTACTGTTTTAAAATTCAGCTTAATTAGGATAAAGCATATGTGCAGATATGTATGTTAAGTTTTCTTTTTGCGAATCGAGTGTGGTTCCAAAGTTTTAATGAAAGACTGTCTTTTATAATAAATAAAATAAATATCAACATTTTTTATTGAGCATTAAAATGAATGGGAGTGGATGGAAATTTGTTTATGAACAATAATTTAGCTATTTTAGAGAAGCACATGTATGTCACGTGTTTACCACGTGTTTTATTTTAAATTCATTATTTTCCATAATGTCCTCCGTGCCCTCTATGATGATGATGATGCCCATGATGATGATGATGTCTGTTGAAAATTTAAGAATTTCAAAATAAAATTCCAAAAAAATAAATTTAAAAAATTTCTTACCCTCCATATCCTCCATGTCCATATCCTCCATATCCTCCGTGTCCATATCCTCCATATCCACCTGGATATCCTTTAAAAATTAAGAAATATTAGAAATTTTAAACAAATAAATTAAAGTACGGTTAAACTTACTGTTATATCCACCTACAAGATGCATCAGCAAAAAAGGAAAAAAAAATAAAGAATGTAATAATTTGTGTTAAGACAATCAAGCTACATGTAAAGATTCTTCAATTCCTCACATATACAGAACTTTAAAGAATGATCTTATCATCAAGAAAATGAGCTCCGCAGATAAATTATTTCAGGGTTAAAGAGGGTTGGGAATTGATTTTTAGGAAGAAGTGGATCTAGTATCTTTTTAGGGTCATGGAGATGGAAAATTTGAGATTTCAATACAGTTTATTTTCATACCATATCCTCCATATCCTCCATATCCGCCAAATCCTCCTAATCCGAGAAGTCCTAATAGTAAAAGAATGGAAAGAACCATTAATTGACTTGTTTACACATTTCTACTACGTATCACTCAAATCTATGAATCAGAAACCTGATTATTGTTTGCAAATTATTCATGAAACCGGTAGTGCTGTTTGTGCTATTTTAAAGAATCTTCATTCATAAACATTTTCTATTTCTGCTGCCGCAAAAGGTGTCAAATGATGACAAATAAAATTTTACAATATTTAAACAACAAGACTTTAGAGTTGGTCATGCATTTATTCTACAATAGAATGTGTCACTTCCTTAAATTTGACATATACTGTATTAGTAAACAACTCCAAAATTGACTTGTTTTGATATTGAAAACACATTTAAGCATGAACAGACATCGTTTTAATAAGAAGACTCAAACTTATAACTTTGAGAATGTAGAACAAAGAAAGTTATAAAACGATCACTTTTTAGCTCAAATCATTCAAACTACTCTTAAATTCTATATGTTGAACTCTTAGCGCACGTTTCTGATTCACAAAATTCTCAAAAAATATTTTTGGCACTAACCGAACTGTCTCTTTTGACGCACTACATCACTATTCTGATTATTAGAAGTATCATCAGCTTCTAAAGTGACAATGGTTAAAGGTGATTCAGCTTCTGGTTGTTGATCGACTTCTTCAACGGGAACTGCGTATGCAATGGCAACAAATAATGCCAAGATCACAAATAACTTCATGTTTTTATTATTCTTTTGTTTTTAAGCTTCTGTAAAACTTGATTCAACGTGCTTGAAACACTTACTGAGACTGAGCAAATTTTAAAACAAGCAGTGCTTATATACTCACTTTGATAAAATACTCAAGAGCGAGAAGATAATAAATAGTTTAACTATTAATGACATCACACACAAGAAAGGTGCTGAGTCGAGAGACTAGATAAACAAAAAACCGGAATGATTAATTCCAATTTGTTAAGTGCATCGACGTCATGAAGAAAAGCCAATAACTGTTCTGTCTGTCTTCTGCAGTCTTGTAATAATTGAACTACTTATTTACGGAGAAAGGTTGAGAAATTTCGGAGAAAACTGTGCGACTTTCTTCGAATGAGCTGTCGAGGGAATCACCTGTTGATGCTTTTTATTTATATTGATTTAACAGCTGTGATTGATGCAATTCTGTATGGCGGGAAGTTAATTAAGATATTATGTCTTTAAAGACATTCAAAGAGGGTTGGTCAATCACATAAGTTACAATGTGCATTATCTGAAATCGAGTAGTTCTTTCCGGATCATTAAAAACCTGAGTTAATTTATTAAAAACAGCTTTAGAAATTTTTGTTGATTGCAAAATTGTTTGAACAAATATTTATTGCACATAAAAATATTGGATATGATGTACATAAAAGAAATACATATTAAAATCCCTAAACCAGAAAATCAGCCATTTAGTCCTTCATTTAAGAGCAATGTATGCTTGATCTTGATCAGCATGTGATTTATTTTCCCCAATAAACAATCTTGTGAGCATGAGGTCTGTAGTATCTGATTAATACAAAATAAATAGTCTTTAAATAATGAAAAATTGGCAATAAATTAAGTCTGTCTTACCCTCTGTAAGTAGTCGACATGATTAATAAATAAATTGCATTGTAGTGTTCATTAATTATTGATTTTTAAATAAAAGTCAGTAATAATCTTCAATATTCTTACCCGTAGCCGTCTACAAATTAATTAGAAAATACAAAATGAATTAGCAAAATTGTTATACTATAAATCTTTGAACTTACTTGATGGTTGATATCCGGTAAATCCGAAACCTGGAAAACAAAGAAATATTATGTTAAATTTGAGATCGGGAACCTTAAAAGAATGCAGAACTATACAACTGATCAACTGTTAAGAACTATCTACATACCAGATGGTCGACCAAACAATCCATAGAATCCACCTTAAAAAATAATGAGAAATATTTCATTAATTTGTCACAATCTTTAAGAATGTGTTAACAAACAAAATTCCCCATAAATTTGACATTGACCTTGCAGAGCTGCATATACATACATACCTATGTATGAAATATGTAAAAAAACAAATTCGATTTCGATTGTTGAACTCATTGACCAGATATTTCATTGAAATAGGTTCAAATGAAACCAATTCTAATTTAGAAGGTTCCTTTAAGGATCACTGGCAGTAATGAACAGCTTTAAGTAGAAGTTTACTTTACTAGTCACTTGATGAGACTCAATGATTTCAATCCAGTAGTTTCAGTAAAATATCAAGTTCCAAACATTTATAAAAGCTTAATAAATTTTTAAGTCATTTTCATTTCTCTCTGATTAAAAAATTAAAGATAATTTTGCGAAGTTTCTCAGCAGTAAGCTTCTTAACGAAAAAAAAACCAAGTCATGCTGAAGATTTTTGTGTCACCTGATATTGCCGCAAGCAGCATTTAATTTCTCCATAATGAAGGAATGCATTATTAAATGTCATTTATATATTTCATAAGATTTACAGGAACTTTATGGAATGCCAACAAAAAAAGGGAAAGAACCGAATTAAAAATTCCAACAGGCATAAAAGTTTGATGTCAGAACGCAATAAAATGTAAACAGGTAAATAAACTACACATGCTAATATGAGTTTGTTTGCTTTAAAAATGAATACACGGGATTATTCGCTGCTAATTAAACAGCAAATTTGTATTAACAAGTGAAATTCAATCAACGTTATAATTTACAGCCTTGTGAGATTCTGCTGAAATTATTGTGCAATCAGTTTCACTAGATTTATTATGGATGATTTAATTCTTATAATTTTGCTACTTTAAAACCATTACTAACCTTGACGTCTTGCACGTTCGGTACTTTCTGGATCTCTTACAACATGGATTGGATCCAAGCTAGCAGCTGCTGGTTCATGATGATGATGAACTGGTTCTTCATGTTGTGCATAAGCAGCAACGGCAAATAATGCGATAACAATTAAGAACTTCATTTTTCGATGAACTTTTTCACTTTTTTCCTTTAATTTGATTTGAATTGAACTTTTGATTTGTTTGGAAGCAAATGCTGTGACTGATGATGACTTGGTGATCTGATGGTCTTTATATACTCCTTTTTTGAGGGTTCGCCTGGAAACTTAAGGAGGTTTTGGGTATGAAAGTTTATAATTCGAAAAAGGAGCGGAGATCAAGAATCTTAAGATATCATTTGACTGATGTTCAGGGTTGATCTTATATAGATATTAGGATGGATCATTATTCTGAAAATAAATTGCAACATTCGTTAAGATTAAAAGAACATCAACTCTGTTGAACTTAATATAGCAGTCAAATAAATGTATCATTATCAAATGGGTGAATCCAATTGTTCCTATCATATGGGATTTTTCATATTGACACTTAATAGCTGTCTTTTAAGATCAATAAATCATTAACAGCCTTCAAGCCATTTCTTGTATGTCGAAATAACTAAGGAACTGATATTTTGCATCAACAAGTCAAAGACTGAATCATAAATTCCAAGTAAATTATTTATTGACTATTAAACAATGTAAGAACAAAGATGATCTAGAAGAAAATTGAATTGACTGTAAATAATATCGCCGTCACATGTCAATGGGGCAAATCCAAGTATAATTTTATGAATATTCTGATTGCTTTTCATGCTTCAGCACTCGTTTGGCGAGTTTCTTTTCTGCATTTCATTCTTAATACTATTTGAGTACAGTTCAATGAATCTTCAATTGCTCTTTAGAATTGGCGTCTGTAAGAAGTGTTGATTCAGAAAATAGCAAATACATTTATCATGACTAATTAAACAGCATCAAGGAACAAAAAATATTTAACGCTGGTAAGAAATTCAGGAATTTCTTAAGTAAGTCCCGTAAGGAACTAAAAATGACAGTTAGTGCTGCCCATTTCACCTTTAATTTATGACTTAAAAGGGAAAAGGCGTTGATTTTAGACTTCTAAAGACATTAAAGTCTTCATTTATTCCATAAAAATATTCAAAGACTTTTGTTTTGCCTACAAATAGCGAATTATTGAATTGTAGGGCAATAATAAACATGTCAAAGGAACTGGAACCTAAGATATTTCAGAAAAAAATGCTTTGTCATCTATAGACATCTTAATTCTGAAAATAACAACAACTTAATAATTAATTATTAGCCGGTGTGTTAATTTTGACGGTAATAAATCCACTTAGCATGTTCGTCTAGACAAAAAATCCCCAAGGTACTTATTGCGTGCTTGTTATTATTATTATTATTATTATTATTTATTTATTTATTTTTTCTAAACTTGCTGTTTATGCTACACTAATTTAGATTTCATCTATGATACCATCAACATGATTTAATTACGTCTATTAAAAATGTTGTTGTTGTTTTTTGTTGCTGTAAAACAAAGTCATTGAAAAAGACACAACTAGCTTCTTGGATTTATTTTCTAAATACTTTATTGTGCTATTCTTTGATAGAACTTCTATTGAAGGAGGATTTATATGAGGAATAAGTAACATCATTAAAGAAGATTTTATTATTGGTAATTTCAACACTTGAGAGATCTTCAATGGTTAGTTCTTTTTGTCTCGGTTATAATCATTATTATTTTGATTCATGCTGACCGTTCTGAATTTACTCGAAAATCAACGTTCGTTTCGGCATTTCCCATGTTAATAACACGATGATTCATATCTTGTATGCTTAGAGCTACACATATTTTGTAAACATGTTTATAAAATAAAAATAACAAAATAAAATATTCGAAATAGACAGTTTCGTGAATGAATACTGATGGTCAATAACAGCTTTATATATATTGCGCGCGCATGTGCTTAAGCCCAAATCTAAAAAGGAATTAAAATTTCATTGAAAGAAAGAAGTAAACAATTTTTTTTGTGTCTACGACTTACTCTCAATGTAAAATCCCAACTGCCAGTTGAAAGAGCAGTTCCATCTGGAGAAACTTGTAAACATGAAACCTTATTCTCATGGCCATATAATAGACATACTCGTTGACTTTTTAAAGTGTCCCAAACATTAACTGTATAGTCATTATAGCCGGCAAATAAAAGTCGTCCACTTACTGAAAAGTCGACTGAGTTTACTCCAAAAATGATGCTTTCCTTACTATAAACAGCGACTTCCTTATCGGCCCTCAAGTCAAATAAGCGACATGTTGAATCATCGCTACCTGTAGAAATGGCATCACCGCTTGGATGAAATTTAACGCTATTAATATCAGACTGATGTCCTTCGAATGATTGTACGACATGACTTGTTCTCATGTCCCAAATAAATGCCATTTTATCACAGCTCTAAATAATTCAATATCAATAAGAGATTAATGAATTATTAATATGAATGCTTAATTTACTTACGCCAGACACGAATGTATTTCCAGTTTCATTTGGTGCTTGATCAATGGCCATGACATCACCAGAATGACCGTGAAAGCTTTGTAATAACTGACCTGACTCAACATCCCACAAAGCACAAGTGGAATCGCCACTGCCAGTTAAAATTTGCTGATCTGAATTTGGGAATAGGCAACAACTCATGTAGCTTGTATGAGTACCGACGGTCTTCTTGCGAGAGGAGATATCCTCTTCAGTCGTAATTGGATATACAGTGACTTTATTATCAAGTCCTCCACATGCAACAGCTAGAATTTTTTAAAAACCTGATAATAAAGGTGCAATAAAGACAATTCAAAGAACAAACCATTTCCGGAGGTTGAGTATGAGCAACTCATGACCCAAGTTGCTGGCATTGTAAGTGCGTGTTCCTTATTCGTAGAAAAAGCATCCCAAATAATTAACTTCCCATCCTGGGAGCTACTTACGATGTGTCTTTTATCAGGAGACCAATCACTGCATAAAACTTTAGCCTGATGTCCCTTTAATATGCGACGAGGCTTAATATTAAGATAACTTATCATTTCCAATCGGTCAGCAATTGATGATACTGAAAATTAAGTAAATTTACTGAAAAGTCCTTGAAAATTGGAAAAAGTTTCTTTTACGTGTGACATCATTAAGCTTTTGACGTTCTTCTTCCAGCTTTTGCTTTAAATTTTCAGCCTCTTTCATTAGACTAGCCACTTTATCACCAGAATTATTAATTTGATTTGATTCAGACATTTTTGTGCTTAAATTTTCTGAAAATTTATAAACTTTTTTGTTTTTCTCCAAAGAAAATTGGAAATGCAAGCACGCATGCGCTAAGAAAATATTTTTAAAAACATAATTCCGTTGTGCGAAATTGAAAATGTGCTCTTTATTGTTGCTACAAAAAGTATATAACTTCAGCTTAGACCTAATGCTTTCTCAGCAAAACGTGGCAATACAAATGCTGCCTTATGAACCTTTGTTGTGTAGTAACGGAAGTTCAATTTATCAAGTTCTTCATTAGTGAACTTTTGGACTGGATCACTCAAGTCAATATTTTCATCTAAACATCCAATGACGAATCCGATATTTCCACACGGATATGATGGAACGACAGCCTAAAAATAAAATGATATAGATTAATTAACAGTAGATCTCGAAATATGTGCTAACTGTATTACACAAGCATATGACACATTTTTAAAGTGTAGACCACATGCATCGATTGTTTCTTTAACGTGTTTAACATCAATCCAAAAACTACTGCCTTGTGAACAAACAATTCCTCCTGGACGTAATGCATTCTTCATCAGTTGGAAGTAAGGTTCTTGGAAAAGTGAAACAGCTGGTCCAACTGGATCACTAGAATCAGTAATAATAACATCAAATTGTTCCTTATGATTCTTCATGAATTCAAATCCATCGCCAATTGTTAAGTTCACTTTCGGAGATTCAAATCCACATGCCATGAATGGTAAATACTTTTTTGATAAATCAACAACCCGTCCATCAATTTCAACTTGATAAACTTCCTTTACAGCTGGATGTTTTGAAACTTCTCTTGCTACTCCCCCATCTCCCCCGCCTACAATCAAAACTCTTTCTGGATTTGGATGAGCACATATTGGAATCATGGAAATTAGTTCCTGATACCCGAATTCATCACGTTCTGTACATTGAATAACATCATCAAGAATTAAAACTCGACCGTATGTCTCGCTGTAAAATAAAATAAAAAAGCATGTGTGAATCTTTATAGTAAATCAAGGTCAAAAGGTTGATCATCCACAAAAAAAAACTTACGTCTCAACGAGTTTTATGCTTTGAAATTCTGATTTTTCTTCATGAATGACTTTATTGACTTTCAATGAAAAGCATTGACCTGGCCAAAGATCAGTGATTTCACTGAACCATCCCTTCACTAAATTATCCATTACTTGAACAAAATTTTTAAACTTATGCTGCCGAAAGTTGAGTTCATACTGAGTGACAAATCAGTTTTTTAGAGATAATATGATTAACTCTCTTAATTCTTATCAGCTTATGAGAGTTCTATGTATGAGAGTCATGCACTTCAGAAACAGCGAGAGAATGAACAAATAATTGGAATATGTAGAATTTGAAATGACCTGAGAGTAGGAAAGAATGACAAAGTTAAAGCGCATTGAAAATGCACAACTATTAGATTCTTCTGGATCTTCTATTTTTCTCTTTTGTTTACAGCTGAAAAACAGGTCTGAAGGCCAAACAGGATGCTATTCACACAATATCAACAAAAAATTGTGCTATTCGAACTTTGATCTTTACATTTTTCAGAAGTTTAAAACTTCCAGAGCTAAAAAATTCAAACAATAACAGCACACAACAAATCATTCACATATCACACAGCACAAATCTAATTCTAATAAAACAGCAATAAAAATTCTCCGAAAAATTAACTCTTGTGCATTTTAATATCAAGTTTCATTTAACAGCTTGCATTTTTAATGGAACTGCAAACATTTTAAGTAATTAACAAATTATTGATGATTCATCGTCCATGCACTTCATTAATTTTTATTAGTAATAGTAATATGGTGAATAAACTGGAACTGGAGGTAAAATGTAAGGATTTACAACCACAAAAGGACGTCTTCGAGCAAATGGGTATCCAAAATTTCCATAATATCCACCGCCTGGCCATGCCACTGATACAATTTGAGGTTTCGCAACACAAACTTCAACAATCAGCAGCAATACAAAAATCAACACAAAATATTTTATCATTTTCAAAGCTTTATTGAGTCAAAACTAATCGAAATATCCATAAATCACTGGGTTTTATAAGCACATACACGATAATGTGTTAATTGAATAGAATTACAAAAGCGGATTGTGAGAAATAATCAATATGCGATGTTTATTTATCGGAGTGACTTAGAAGGAATTCTATTAAAATTTTCTAGATGGCACAACTAGTACGGGTTGCTGTTTTTGAACAACTACGACTTTTGGACCTTGTTGAGGAACAACTACCACTGGTCTTGATGACTGTGAAATCGGTCTGATTGGAACTTGCTGAATAACTTGTCTTCCTGGTTGCTGAACGATAACCACGGGTTTTTGTTGAATTCCTTGACGTCCTGGTTGCTTAACGACTACAACTGTTTGTGGTCCATTATTTCCAGGAAGGATCACTCGATCTGGAAATGCACTGACAAATGCAATCACAAGCAAAAATGAGATGTACGATAAAGTAGCCATGTCGATAATGATTCTTAAACTGATGGATATTCGTTTCCATCAATTTCTTTTATAAGATGACAAACTATCGACAGGAGAAGTGGTAATTGTAAAAAGTAACAACTTCCGTATCAGATAATGTAAACATTGTTCTAATGACTCATAATAGCTAAATCAGTGCCTGTTTTAACCAATATATTGATGATTACTCCTTCCTTAAAAATATCACGAGTGCAGAATTTTAAAGTAAAACTAATCATATTTTGAACTTTATTTAAGAAAAATGGAAATTATTCACAAGACATTTGAGTATCACTATTATAAACCTGCTGAATGTATGGCTTTAAGCACTTAAGAAGTTGGATTATTCAAAGAAATTTCTGAGCACATTTCAAGAAGATTGAAACTGTCAAAATTTAACCCCAAAATCCTCCATATCCTCCAAATCCAATTGGTTGATATCCAAACCCATATCCAAAGCCACCTGAAAAGTTTTAGAAAGTAAATTTAATATATTTATGGACAATGGATTAGAATTGATGAGTTTAATGATCTCTGTAGTCACATTTTTGTCGGTGTGTGAAGCTCTTTTCTTTGTGTATTAGGTGAAAAAGTTTAGAATCAAAATCAATTTACCATAGGATGGATATCCATAAGAATAAGGGTAGTATCCTCCATAATACCCGCCTGAAAATATCATAAAGATTTGATAAATTTCAAGGATTCAGAATAGAATTCAAGATAGACTTACCAACTGGGAATCTATAATTTGTTATGGAAAAGATTTTGGAATCGATTATGATCCAACTGTGGAATTAAAATAAAATTAATCTTACCCGCCTGAAAATAAAAGAAAAAGAAAAGATTTAAACAATAAGTCTGAATTATTTGATTCTTAAAACTTGATTATGGCACATAAGACGAGTGTGTCGCAATTTGTATTTCCTGGACGTCATTTGTGAAATAACCCTTTCTGTAATTACTTGTTGCTTTTAAGCAACGGCAATTAATCTTGTATCATTAATTTAATTACTTTTTCGTAGTCTTAATATATGACTTAAATAAATGACTATCGGAAAAGGGAAACTGACAGTACAGTTCCAATGACGGCCTTCTCTGTGTTTTGGTACACAATTTCTTTAACACCACATACATGCTTAAATCTACGATCGCACCGGTTAATGACCGATGAAATTCCGGATCTTTCGGCATGTAGCGTGAAGATGTTTTTGTTTACCTCATCGATGTTATTGCAAACTGTACGAATAATATGGAAGCTGTTGGCTTAAGTCACTCATTTCATCATATTAATCACATTAATTTCTATGCCATTTGTTATTTAAACAAATTTTACGACAAATTACATAATGAGCTTCCCATTTAAAGGTGTGGATCTCGCACTTCCTCAAAACAATTCATTTTTTATCACAAATTAAAACAAAGGCAAACCTTGGTATTTACTTTTGTCCGCGTGTAACTTTAAACACGCCTTATAATTGTGAATTGTTGTGGCTAGAATCACCACGCACATTTTGCAGTTCCAATTTGAAATTCATAGCAAAAAATTATTGTAAGAATGTCTTGCGATGATGCAAGATCAATAAGCTCGATTTTAATGTTCTATGCCAAAATTTCTAGTCACGTCATTAAGTTCTCTTACCATATCCATAATATCCATAATGCGGTCTATGATGTCTTTTATCTCTTGTAAGATCATCGCTCAAATCGTCATTATCTGTGATTAATGAGCTTTCAGCTGCTAATTGATCAACTTGGGGTTCATTGACTTTTTGAACATCATCAATTGGCAAACAACTAACGACGCACATTACAGCCATAATGGCAAAGATTTTGACGTAAATTCCCATCGTTATGTCTCTATTTCCTCTTTATCAAAAAATATTAGAACCAGATTCGTGTTCTGATTTACTTTAATTTTGTCAAGTTCTTCCTTGTGTTTACACACTGATTTTCTCAGATAGACTAAACTCTAGAACGCAGCTGGAAGAATCTTTTATACATGAGCGGAAAACTGAGGTAAATATTATTTACAAACGTTACAATCATGGAAACGAGTTTGTGCTTAAAAATGTCCACAAGAAAAGAAAGAAGTTTGTGTGGATGTGATCACTCGTTATCATATATACATGCTTACTCTTTTTCATACTTCACATTAGCAAGATCATATTTTTAAGAGATTCCTTAATTTAATTTTATGTAGATCATTGCCTCCCACATTAAAAGAAGTTCCAAACGCGAAAAAAAAAGTCAAATTTATTTCACAAATTTTCTCAAAAAAAAAATCTAAAACATTAAAAACTTTAAGTTCTAATAATCTACAACAATATCAATTATATTGAGATTTAAATATTTCTATTTTCAACAATTAGCTATCTGACTTTCCATCCTGCTTCACATCAGTTTCAATTTTCGTCTTCTGTCCTGCACTATTATCAGTTGCAGTCTCTGCATTCGGCTCATTTTCGATATTAGCTTGTTTCATCAAGTCAATTTCATAAATTGGTTTCATTTGTCTCGCTTGACCAAGAAGATGATGTTCGCTGCCTTCTTCTGGAATAGAATCACGCCGTTCTGTGTCCTATATATTGTAATAATATGAGAAAATGAGATTTAAAAATAGCAAGACGGACTGTAATTATTGTTTAAAAAAATTTGAATGGATATCAGATTAGGAACAAGACAAGATGGTTTGAGAATAAACAAAGTATTGAAAGGAATTGATTGAATTTTAAAGCGAAGTTTTAGGTTAAGAACGACAACAAGGGTGTGGTACTGATGAAATGATCAAAATTGATCAAAATGTAATTCTTCAGTTCCACACCCTTGAACGACAATGCAAACTTGTTTAATTAATGATTTAATGATCAAACAACACAAATACCCTTAGATAGTTACGAAGAGCGTCAAGCTCAATGTCTCCAGATGGTTTAACATTATATAATAAACCACTTTGATGATGTTTCTTTTTTTGGTTCGTCAGAGGAGATGGCTCGATATCCTAAATTATTTTCAATTTATACACAGAAATAAACAAACAAGGAACATGAGTGGGTACACATAAAACATCCAATATAATACTAAATAAAAACACTAAGCCTTCCTTAAGCGCTCTCACTTTCCCAGATGGTATTTTTCATGATAGCCAGACATGCGCCGATCGTTTAAATAATTATTTTATTAACAGCATAGTTGAAATTTCTAATCAAATTCCAACAGTGCGCCCTACTTTGCAATTCCATATAAATTCTACTTCCACGCTTTTTAGTTTTCAGCCAGTTACATTCGAACAGGTCAAACATTTAATTACTGAAGCAAAAACCAAGTATTATCATGACAATCTTACTGGTAAAGTTATTAATGATGCACTGGATTCTCCAGATTTTCTAATATCATTTACTAATCTTTTAAATATGTCTCTTGAGCGTGGTCAAGTACCTGATCTTTTTAAATGCAGCACGATTACGCCTATACAAAAAATTCCGAATTCTAATAAAGTAAATGATTTGCGCCCAATAAATACATTACCGGTCTGTAGTCAGATCCTGGAACGTATTGTTAAAGATCAGCTTTTAGAGCATTTTGAATCCAACAATCTCTTTGCTAGCCAACAATCAGGCTTTCGAAAGTTCCATAGCTGTGAAACTTCGATTGCTTATATTACCTCCGAATGGATTGATGCACTTGACAGGAACAAGATAGTAATTTCAGTTTTTCTAGACCTAAAGAGAGCTTTTGAGACTGTCGATAGAAAGCTCTTACTGGACAAATTAGAGATGTACGGATGTGATCCTATAGTCCTCAACTGGTTCAACTCCTATTTATCGAATCGTTTTCAGCAGACCAAGTTCAATGGTTTTTTTTCAGCACTTATGCCAATAATATTTGGTATACCACAAGGATCTGTACTTAGCTGCCTTCTCTTTATCATTTTTATTAATGATATTGTCAATGTCATTGAGTTTGCGCAGATTAAACTCTTTGCTGATGATACTCTTATTTTTATTGAATGTGATGCTGATAACGTTGACGAAACTTTACATCGATTAAACAGCGACTTGTCTAAGGTTTATGATTGGTTGTGCTTTTCAAAACTGTCATTAAATATCTGCAAGACTAAGGCTATGATTATCTCGAATAAAAATATCAGGCATGAACCTACAACTAGTATCATGATCAATGGAACACCAATCGAACTTGTTGATTCTATGAAATACCTGGGTATAATTTTAGACAAAAATTTGTCTTTTTCCGAGCAGCATGATGATATCCTCAGAAAATTAAACAAGAAGTTTTATGTCTTCAAACGTTGCGAAGCAAAATTAAACACTTCAAGCAAAAAGCTTTTTGTCACATCTTTGATTTTTTCGCATTTCAACTATTGTTCTTCAGTGTCTTTCTTATTCAGTGACAGTCAAATCGATGAATTGCAGAAGGTCATAAATCGTTTCATGCGCGTTATCCTTAGATGTGATAATCGCACTCATCGTCAGGATATGCTTGACAGCTTTGACTGGTTATCAGTCAAGCAAATGCTTAATTATAACGTTTTAATGTTTTTTCACAGATTAACTAAATTTGAGTCTCCTGATTATCTTTTCTACAAGCTTAAGAAAGCAACTGATGCTCATCGCTATCCCACAAGGCGTGCAAACGATTACATTCTTCTTAACTATACGAAAGCACGATCGCAGAACAGTTTGCTTTACAAAGGACTTAAACTTTTCAACGACTTCCAGAATTATCGAAGAGGTATAGCCCAGGAAAGGCAAACAACAATTCAATTGGCCGCAAAAGAATACGTCAAGGAGAAATTTCCTTTAAACTAAACTCTAAACTCTCTAGGCATTTCTGTGAATTCCGTCGATATTTGTGTCATACTGCTTTTCTTCCATGAGATTCTAGGTCTTAGTTAGCGACTTGGTTCCGTCCCTGATGTAGAGTGGCAGACAAACTTTCAACTTCCGATCTTAACAGATAATGGGTTGTCTGTAGTTATGCTGTTTCTCACTCACGCCATTAAGCTTGCAACAGGTCTGCGGACGTAATTTTGTAGTTTAATGAGGCTCATAAACAGCAAATGTTTTGGTGTACTTGTACTGTAAGCGCATTGCTCGCTTTAAACTGTTTCGGCGGTTCTACTTCATTTAAAGTTTAGGTGTGCAAACACCAGTGAGTGGTTAAGAACGTTTTTGCCTCTATCTAGGATTGTTCTTTGGCGTGACTATCACTAAGAGCAGTAATGGATTCGATTCGCTAAGGGCTATTTATCGATGGATTATTTACAGTGCCATGAGACATATTTTTACAAAATATTTCATATCTAGCCGCTTAGGCTACATTTTAAGTTAAAATTTTTAACAACCACACAGTCACATTCTTTACATTGCTTGTTATCATGTTTTTCTTAATTTTTTTGTTTTATGTCGAGAATTATAAATCTCAATACTTTTGTACTTTTAATACCTTAAGGTAAATAAACCAATCTATCTATCTATCTATAATTAATACATTTAATCAATCATAAATAAAAAAGACCAAAATAAACAATAAGCCTGTGGAATTTTTTAAATTCTATCCACACATACCTCATCGAGTACCTCTATAAAGCTCGGCTGTGAGATGTTTTTACTCCCATAATGACTGTGTAATTTTGGAGCACTCTCGGCATGAATAGAACGCAATGATTGATCACAGTTTTTATCGTCCTTGCGCAGCATGTGATTTGAGATTTTTCCATGATTAATTTCCAGTGCTGATTTCAACAAATCAACCTGTAATGATCAGGAAATTGATGAAAACTTAGTCGGTATTAATTTTTATTAATTCCTTACCTTTGAGGCACTGCCACCCTTTGGACTTGTAGCACTAATCGAATAACTACTTCGACGACGAACAACTGAGTCAATGTCTGTCTGCAAAGTATAAGGAATTAGAAATTAAATGCATCAACTATTGCTTACTTTGAAGGTAGAATCATTAATATAATTACATAACCAATTACTTACTTTAGATCCACGTGAGAGTGACGATAAACTTCCAATCTGATTATACTTAATCATCAATGATAAGCGCTCTTGTGACATCGATGTAGATGCGTCCTTCATCTTTGGTTCCGGGGATAATTTCTCATTTTCACCACTTTCCAAGACATCAACATTATCATCATCCTAAAATGTTATGGAATATTAATAAGTACATGATGTCTTTTGAATGAATTCATGCTGTTACCGTATCAAAACGCTTAAGCCATATGAAGTATATCAATTTGTAGGCAATTCCACCAGCTACAGCAATCAAGCCCATGTATCTAAAAGCATCTCTAGTCCCAACTTCACCAATCATAAAGCCGCCAACAAATGAGCCACTGATAATAAATCAAAGAAGCACACATAATGGGAGGAACTTGATATCTACGAGTAAAAATGTTCATACCTTCCTCGGCCCAATGAAAAATGTGCCATTCCCAAAACACCTAAAAGCGTTGCTAAAAGATTTTTCGGTGCTAACAATGAACAATAGGTTGCAGCCGCTACCCTATATAACGAAATAGAATAAAATTATTAAGAATGAGCTTTTCTTATTAAAAAGAACAAGGAAAACATACCACATAAGATGACATGACAAAGCTTCCATAGCTTCGAAAGGAAAGCACCACCATGCATTTCTGAAAGAAAAGAAAATAAAATACAAAAACTATGAAGCTATTAAAATATGTCGTGTTCATACTCAATGAATGAATAACCCACAAGACGTCCTGCATGTGAAAAGAATGCGATAACGATAAGGTTTACATGTCCAAAAATCCTAGTGAGTTTCTCAGCCGTATAAAGGAACGGAATTGATGATATTGTACCGACGGTGATTGTTATACCTAATAAATAATTTGGTGCACCGAGTTCTTTCAAATAAAGGAACAAGAAGCTTTCTATAAATCCCCAAAAATTTCCCAACACGAACAAGAATATTATGAAGCAGATAACGTGTGGCATTTTTAATAGATTCCATAAATCCCTAAAGACATTATCAGCAGGTAGTTTCTCTCCCAAAGGCATTAAAAAGACAGTAATTGCTGTGATAACAAGGAGAACATCATAAGTATAAAATGCAGCTGAATAATCAGTATATCCAAGATTCTTTGAATTATGATCGATGAGCATTCCTGTTATTGGACTAAATATAGCCATTCCAAACATACTAAACAATCTCTCTCTACCAAAGTCACCACCATATTTTTCAATCATCGTTAAAGCAATAGGATCCATCTAGTAAAATTAAGATATAAATCATACAGAACTAAATAAACATATCAAGATGATAAGACATTTTCTCACCATTGTGACGCCACCTGATAACATCGTTGTACCGAGAAAACGTAATAAGAAATAAATCCAGAACACTTTATCATCACTCTCTTTATAGTCTGGAGGACAAATTTCTGGACCTCCTGTAATAAATTCACATTTTTGAACCATACAATCTTCAGCAAGTTCTCGAAGACGATCATCAGAAATTGTCATATTATGACGGAGAACTAATCCACCGCATCTTAAATCCTCTTCCTCTAATGCAGTAACATTTACACCCTTGTCCCATAAAAGCTTCTCACCAAATCGTTGCTTAAAGTCTGTCACATTGTCGTCATTAGAATCTTCAATTTCTATACCCAATTGTTCTATAGGATCGCCAAGATCTGGATGCATATCCAGCACAAAGATAACGCTTTCGCCGCTTCCACCGACCCAACTTTCTTCTTCACTCTCTTCAGATATATTATCGATGTCAAAGTCTGTTAAATTGAAATAAGATCTGTTGTAAGGATTATCCGGTGAAATTCGCATTGATCCATCCGTCGTTGATTCGGTAAGTACTTTCATCTGCGAATTTTTCTTCTTACTAATTTGAAAATTGAGATCATCTTCTTCGTTTGTATTGGCTATCCGCACAACAGGTGCTTTTGTAGACTTTTCAGGAATCGGTTCAATTTTTGGATCTGGCGCATTTAGTTCAAGAAGTAAGCAATGATCAATGCAAGAATCTACTACAATATTAATCTCTTCCTCTTCAGGACATTCACGACTAGGACATGGTGACCACCATACTTCAACATTTCCACTTTGTGGATGTCTTATGACTAGAAGATTATTAAATTTAAAAAGAGATCAAATTAATTGATCATTTTAGGCTATTAAAACATACCGAAAGCTGCTGGAACGCTCCCCGGTATCTCTTGTTGGGGAATTATAAATAATGCATGATGAAAGACGGCGTTAAGAAGAAGTGTCATAATGACGACTGGTTTGTACTTTCCAAATTTATCAACAAGGAAACCTCATTTGATTAATGTAAGGAAAAAATCATTAAATTAGTTTAATTGCCGTAAAATGAGAAAACGGAAGGGAAACACCAACACGAACTTTTTTTATCATTCACAAGATCAAATTTGATGTAAAAGAGACGAAAAAGTTCCCTTCTGCTTTTCAGTAATTATAATCCTATCTTATATCAGTAGATTAAAGTTACCTGTAATTGGAGGAGCTAAGAAAGTTGTGAATGGTAAGGCTAGATAAATTATAGCGATTTCCTCAACAGTTATTCCTATACTGAAATTTAAATTATTTTTTGTGGTTCAGGAAGACAAATTAATTATCATTGTGGTTATAAGTAGAAGCAATTAATGTACCTTTGCATATGAATCGTCAAATAGGGTAAGAGTGACGAAGTTGCTGTAAACAAGAAAAGATTTGCATCAATAAATCATACAAAAGACGAGAAAATAAGGCTAATGATCTAAAAATAAATGCGAGCCTTGACGCAATTGATTTGATCCTCAATTGCAATGTTTTTGTGTATTTTTATATACAGTACCGTTCAAAACTGTTTCCATGTTTGAAGAAAAATTTTCTTTTCAACATATTTATTGTAAACCATAACATTTTCCCAGCATGTTATACATCATTTTAAAGCTTATACAATAAGTTATTTAAAAATGATAAGCAACTTTGGAAAATATTTATTTAAAGTAGATTTTTTGCTTAAAATATACACTGTCACATGGAAACACTTTTGAGCTAATAATTGTTTTTCCAAATTTTGATGCAATGCAGAACTAATTGGTTAAAGTATGTTTATTATAGTAAAAAGCAAGTAAAATATTCGATAAAAGCACATAAATTAAGTTGCTAGACATAGTTAAAATATTTATATAAGAATGTCAAATCACTTGATAAATTTTCACATAATTTTGTAAACACAAATATTCAAAATTTTTTATTACTTCCTCCACTTCAAACAACTTTAATCGCTTTTTCTGATAGATTTTATGTTAACAAAGACAACCATATATGATTTATGTAGTCATTGTGAGAGTAAAAGGATTTTTTTTACAATTTTGTTGATCAATGACAGCCATATTCAAAATTTTTCACAAGCATTTACAAAAATTCAATTTTTTACGTAAATATCGACTTAAGACAACGCAAAATGATTAAAATTATTTAAAAATCCAATTCATATTAATAAATAGTCATATTTGACTATCTTAAGTCGATATTTACGTAAAAAAATTGAATTTTTGTAAATGCTTGTGAAAAATTTTGAATATTGCTGTCATTGATCAACAAAATTGTAAAAAAAATCCTTTTACTCTCACAATGACTACATAAATCATATATGGTTATCTTTGTTAACATAAAATCTATCAGAAAAATCGATTAAAGTTATTCAAAGTGGAGGAAGTAATAAAAACTTTTGAATGTTTGTGTTTGCAAGTAAGAAAATTTAAATGTTTCCATGAAATGCTATCAATTTTTTTGCTTTCAAATGCTTCTTTTTACAATTAAAAATTTTTTTTCAGCTTTAATAAGCTAAAATACATTTGTTTTGATGCAAATATCACAACATTTGGCTTTAGATTAGTAATTTTTTGCAAAATTATATGAAAATTTATCATGTGATTTGACATTCCTATCTAAATATTTTAACTATGTCTAGCAATTTAATTTATCTGCTATTATCTTATATTTTAATTACTTTTTACTACAATAAACATACTTTAACCAATTAGTTCTACATTGCATCAAAATTTGGAAAAACCCGAAAAACCATTATTAGCTCAAAAGTGTTTCCATGTGACAGTGTATATTTTAAGCAAAAAATCTACTTTAAATAAATATTTTCCAAAGTTGCTTATCATTTTTAAATAGCTTATTGAATAAGCTTTAAAATGATATATAACATGCTGGGAAAATGTTATGGTTTACAATAAATATGTTGAAAAGAAAATTTTTCTTCAAACATGGAAACAATTTTGAACGGTACTGTAGATCGCAGTAACTTGGACAAATTAAAGTATTTACAGAAATTTATTGTGTGAATCATTTAGAATCTTTGACATTAATTCTAGTTTAATGATATCTTCATCATAAATAGCGTAACTTTAAACTCGATTCTACGGTAAATCCACTAAATTATAAGGAATAAGCTCCAAATTTTAAGATATCAATTGCTTGAACTATCAAAGTTTATGAATATTAAAAACACAAATTTCAATTTTCTTGGTGAGCTTTTATATTTTTTTTCAAGTACAAGCTAGCTTATTTACACGATACACCATATACATATATTGTGTCAAGTCTAAGCGCGCGCACATGTATCTTAATCTCAATTTGATGACACTGAATGACAATTGTCACATCATATAACAATAGACAAGTGGGCATTTACAGCATATATAAATATATATGCGAGCATACATTTATATAAATTTAAGGAATAAAAGAGCATCAAAGATGAAATTGTGTAACATGAATCATAAATATGATTTCCTTAGCATTCATATGGGGCCGTTCACTTATTACGTTCGCATTTTAGGGGGGAGGGGGTTGAAAAATTGTAACAAAATGTAACATAGGGGGGGGGGGGGGGGTCAAGAAGTATTTAACGTTCTAACTGTCGTCTGTCTTTTAAAAAAAAGTTCACGAAAAAAATTTGTTTACAAATTCACATCAAAAAATTTTTTTTAAATAATCCACCTTTTTAATGATAAAATAAATTATGAACGTTCAGGGGGGGGGGGGTTGTGAGTGTAACATATTGTAACAAGGGGGGGGGGAGGGGGGTGAAAAAAAGTCGTTTTTTTGTGTGACGTAATAAGTGAACGGCCCCTATCTGATAATCGCCTTACCTCCATGCATCACAAATAAAGTAACTTTAAGCATAAAAAGGTTTGCATTAATGTTTCGTTTTTGACAAAACTTTGACCACTTTGACTTTTCATCTTCACTTTGAGTTGTTTGAGTCTCATTTGTAGATGATTTTGATTTTTCCATGTTCTAAAGTCCACTTTTATCAAAAGCTTTCTAAACCTTCACTTAAATTTATAATTCTATTTATGCAGTAATTTTCTATTAATTTTTCAAGAGCAACTTAAACTCAAAAGAAACAGTTCAGACTCTTCTTTATGATTTTTTTATACTAATGATAAAAATATTATATCGAATAAATTTGTAGTTTCCGTTTCATAAAGTGTCGAGTTCTCGAAGAAATTTATCTTTTTTTTTCTTTTCTTTTCTATTTTATAAAATTTATTTAAAAACTTTCTTTTGTTCAACTTTTAGTTCCATTAAATCTTGTAAATTAATTCTCCATTTTTTCAGTCGTTGCTTTTAAAACTTATGAAATTATTTAAATTGGAAGGAAAAAAAACTTCCTAGTGAAACGGAGTGACCGCGAATTCAAGAGTCCGTTAGTTGCGAGGAAACTGAGGAGCTTATAAAATTCTCAATGACTATTATATCTGATTGAGACAGGAGATGAGAGAATTTTTCGAGTTCGTATGTGTAAGGTAAGAAGCTTATCACTTTAGTTGATCATTTGTTATCTGTGTATTTATATCATAAATATCTCGAATATGATAGGCACACATGTCATAAGTCTCGCATCTCTCAAAAGATTTAAGGTTCTCTTATTTCAGGAGAAGTTTATAAGTGTTAACTGGGTACAGTGATTTTCATGAATCCATGTACATTTGCGGAGATGAAGCACTTTTTTTCCTGTGGAAAATGTCAAAATATTGAATAAACGTTATCATTATTTGCAGCTTGACTTACTGTGTGATAAGCCTAAAATAGTTCTGCATGTTGAATAATTCAATGTTATCTCAGCTTTCGTGACCTCGATGTCGGTAAGATATAATATTTTTATAGACAGCAAAAGCTCAAACTTATTGAAAAAGCTTTTGTTGTAATTTTATTGAAGCTTTATATTCTCTCAAAAACTATTAAGTTTTTCCTTAATTTGAATGTAAACATAAACAAATCCAGCACCAATGCTTTTCAAATTTCATTATTAATTCTAAGAATATCCAAATTTTTCCAGTAAAATCATTTCATTCCACAGCTTTATGAGCAATTTTCTTATCAGCCTCCTTTAAATTCGTAATGCAGTATGACAGGTCTTATCTACCTTAGACTGCTAAATTTACTTATTTAAATTTACATAATTCATCTTGCTAAAACTTATCGCCTGACTAAATTTATCATAAAAGATAGGTCAGTGCATGAAAGCACTTGATATTTTCATGTACACTAAGTAGGACTTTAATTACGCAGAATTTAATTATGATAAATGAATGTTGTTTGTTTGCTGTCCGTAGAGCTGTAGAAAGGAGAAACAGGGATGTAGTTAGGAACGGGCCCTCAGTCGAGATAAAAAGGCATAGAATGAATAAAAGCATATTTTTCATTTATTTTATTATTCATATAATAATATTCTCATATAAGTATGCATATAGGCATCCAAAAAATTTAAAATTTAATTTACATAAAATTAATAACAATCACTGTACCAAATTCATTAAAAATTATGAGTTCCTATTAATCTCATAAGACACTTACAAAAAAAAATACATTTCTTTTTAAATAATCATCATTCTTTCGTTTTTCTATAATCTTGTGCTTAAATTGACAAAAATAAGTAAATAATGATATCACGTTGAGACAAAAATTTATGATTCCATTTTATTCTGATGAAAAAATAAAATTTTTCCTCATTCATCTTAATTTATCTTTAGTTACGTGTTGTACTTATTGCTTGGCTGCAAAAGAGCGATGCGTACAACGGAATTAAAGCCATTTTGATAACAGATGAATAAGTCAGTTGTCGCGATCGTTAAGACTTGTCACTTGAAAAATACTTGATTGACTAATTTAATCTAATGAAAACAATAATTTGTATTGGATGTTATGCTATCCAGGAATTGTATGTTGGCGCACAAAAGTCTTTCGGATTATAGAAGTTTATTCGATGTTCAGCTGTACTTCCATTTGTGAATTCAAATCCCATACTTTATGTATGCTTTTCAGTCTTTCGTAAGCACGCATTGATATGTTCAAACTTGGCATAACGTCTAAAAGACCAGGTTCACGTAGAAAACTTAAACCGCACAGACCAAAATATGTATGAAATGGATCGGATGTTGTGCCTGACCACTTACTGAAACCACCAACCACAATATCTTGACACGATAAAATATATTCCCTGTTCTCTTTAAAATTGCTCAGTTCAAATGCGTCAATAATTTTGAGCGCAGAACCAATCCAAAATGAATAGCATGTATCGATTGGCTTATTAGGTCGACCTTGAAAACCACCGTCTTGCCGAAACAGAAGCCATCGTTTTACTTTCTCTAATTGCTTCGATGTAAGTAAATGCATTTGATCGCTTAATTGGAGTGCCGCAAGAGCACAAAATGTAGTACCTCCATGACTTTCATTTTCAACGTGCTGACTCACGCCTCCATCATATCGCTTTAATTAAAGTGTTTTTGTGAGGATATTTATAGTTCAATAATTGATAACAAATTTTATTACTCACTATAGAACTTAAAATGTATCGACCCATCAGTTCCTTATCAACATCACCCCAGTCGTTGATCATATAACAAATACAACATGCACAATACACAAATCTCATGTCAAACTCGTTACCTATGAGTGTATTTTAATGATTATACATAAATGGATCTTTATAAAACTAATATGTACCTTCAATAGATGCACTGAAACTTCCGTCAGGTTTTTGGACGGACTTGACACCGTCAACAATAGCCTTTCGATCTAATCTGCTCAAATCGTCTCCTAATATTACTAAAATTGCTATGCATGTATAAGTCATTGCCAAATGTCCCCACTTGTAGTTATCCGTTGAACAGTTTTCAGGAGGATCCAATAAGTTCAATGCTGTACATCCCTAATTATACAAAATATACTTTAATTAAATTAATTAACTTAATCGTATTCAATAGTTTTACCTGAAAACCACCACATTTAACGTTGCCTTCTTTGGGAATCACTTGAAGTCCATAAATCCATTCTATAATATTTTGTTTCGATTGCTCGGAAATTAAGTCTAAAGAATCCAAAACATCTATGCCAGAAACACTGAAAAATGCTATTGTGGCTCTTGTGCTGTCATGACAAGATAATCGATGTGGTAGAAGGTTCAAAAATCTACTGAAATACTTTGCGTGAATCCTCTTATTCATCATAATTCCTTTAAATGCCAATTTAATTTTTTAATCTTTAAAAGTTCCTTTCATTTAATTTTTTTTTCAGACTGAACAAACTTTACATGTTACGTTCAGTGAACAATTTTTTATTTCTTTTCTATAATGCGCACTAAGTTTGAATCTTTTCATAACAGACAATTTATTAAAACTTAATTACTGCCGGTATCAGCTGTTTGCTGATATATCTAATAAATTTCATTGTTATTAGGAGCACAGACGCATTCATTGTTGAAACATTGTCCACCATTAAAATATCCTCTGAAAAAGCATCTCGAATTGCACACGAAAGAAAATGTGAAGTATGTGCATCCTAAAGATCCCGGCAAGATGTAATTTGGATTATCGTTGCCTTAAAAGACATTAAAGATTCATTGATCAACACATTTACTTATATAACATTTCCATACCAGTGAAGAGATTAGACTCTATATTCTGAAGGCCATCAGCATTACAAGAGAGTATGAGACAGCAGGCAAAGATGAAGGCTGAAATGAATTTCATTGCAAGGTTGCACTGTTTTCAAGAATAATATTAAGCGAAAACTAAGAAGATGGTGGAAAATCGCACGAATTTATACTCAATTATTATCCAGCATTATCAAATTGCAAATATCGTAAATTCATTAGGTACGTTTAATGGAATTAAGGGAAAAACAAAGCCGCAATAGACATATTCAAAGTCATAACCGTCATAAAACAATTTGAATCACTTACGCACTTTTGAGTCAGTTTTGTATAAAAATTGGCAAGAATTTGATTTTTTCAACAGACTATTCGCTTTTGTTGTAATGCTGTGTAAATAGCTCGAATTACAGCAATAGTAACGGATTTTTAAAATTTGAACTTTTGTGAACAATCCAAAGTCAATTGGATTTATATATTTTTTGCAAAAATCTTTAAAATGTCAATGTATTGTAGGCTGTGAATGGTTTCAATTCATGTGCTACGCATTTTTCTTTATATACCTAATCATTTATTATGAAAATTCGGACCATTTTAAAAGCAACAAACTTCAATCTTAAAAAATCACCACAGTAATTTTCTCACGGATTAAGACAATTTAAAAGTCAATTTATTTATCATCAGTTATTATTTCAAGCTAGAAAACGCAAAAATCAGAGAAGTAAATATTTTAAGTTTTTGCCGTAAAAACTCAATTATAGACCACTGTTGACGGCACAATTAAGCTAGTTGCATTTCCCTCATATTTACGCACTCGCGAGAAAGACTTTAAATCAGTTTAATTAAAGATTTTAAGGAGTTAAGAACGAATTTAAAGGTTTATTGACATTTTTCACAACTCGAAATTCATTAATTTATATGATTTCGAAGAGAATGTTGAGAATACAGCAGAGGAGCTTTCTAAAATTGATTTCAAGCAGATCATTGTCATCTAGCTTAAATCCAGACTTTAGTTCAAATACAACACAAGAATCGCGAGCACAGCAAATAGTTAATGCTGAAATAAAGAGCGGAATTAATCCAGTGCCCGTTTTCAAGAGGGCAGTTCTGAACAATTCGAAAATTGCCATAAAAGATGCAATAAATGGCGAGAAAACATATACGGAACTACTCACTGGATCTTACAAATTATCAACACAAATTTCCGACATTTGCGGTAAGAAAAATGAAATAATAATATATCAATTCTATTTATTAATAATATATACTTGTCCTTGAAACTCATAGAAAAAGAGTCACTCTCGCGAGTTGCTTTTCTCTGTAATAATGACATATCATACACTATTTCACAATGGGCAACTTGGATTTCCGGACAAATTGGTAAGTCTCAATGACATTTTAAAACTTCTATTTATTAACATTTCTTATTATTTCCTGTGACTTAATTTAATTTAGCGGTTCCATTATGCAAATCACATCCATCCGAATTGTTGGAATTTTACATAAACGATTCTCAATCAAATCTCATTGTCACAACTCCTGAATTTGAGGAACGATTAAAGCCAATTGCTGAGAAATTAAAGAAGCCATTAAAAATTATCGAACAAAGCTCCTTATTGGATCAAGAAGCTATTAGTATTGATGAGGATACAATTATTGACAACATCCCGAAAGGCTCGTTTTACAAAAAATCTCCAGCAATGATTGTCTACACAAGTGGAACTACTTCACGACCAAAAGGTGTAATGATATCATATTCAAGTCTAGAAGCTCAAATTGCAAGTTTAAAGCATGCATGGAATATCCAGCCAAACGACACAATTCTTCACTCACTTCCATTGCATCACGTTCATGGTGTGATAAATGCATTATTAGTTCCACTTAGTGCTGGCAGTCGAGTAACAATGCTTCCAAAATTCGATCCTGACAATGTATGGACTAATCTGCTTAATATTAATATGCCACAAAAAGATCGAGTGACTGTTTATATGGGAGTTCCAACAAGCTATTCCTATTTAATCCAAGAATATGACAAATTATTCAGCAAATCGACACAGATGAAGGAATACATTCGAACTCATTGTCAGAACAAAATTCGCTTAATGGTTTCAGGCAGTGCACCACTTCCACAGACAATTTTCCAACGCTGGAAGGATATTACTGGACATAAGCTGTTAGAACGATATGGAATGACTGAAATTGGAATGTGTTTAAGTAACACATTAAAAGAGAATAAGGAACGATCAAGACTTCCAGGATTCGTTGGACAGCCACTTCCAGGCGTGAATGTGAGAATTGTTAATCCAGACATTGAAAACGATGTTCTGCTTGAAGCTAAAGGTGATTTTAATAAAGGCGTTTGGTCACAGACCGATGAAGAAGAAAAGGCTGTACTAAAAATAAAACCAGGTCTAGCCAGTGATGCAGAAATAATTGGAAGTTTAGAAGTTAAAGGACCAAGTGTATTTGAAGAATATTGGGATAGACCGAAAGAAACACAGAGTGCATTTAGAGATGATGGATGGTTTATTACAGGAGATTCAGTTTGTTATGATCCAACAGTTAATAGCTTTAAAATTATGGGCAGAAATTCAGTAGACATTATTAAATCTCGTGGATATAAAATATCAGCATTAGAAATAGAAACAAAATTATTAGAGAATCCATTAGTTGAAGATTGTGCAGTTATTGGCGTAGCTGACGAAGTTCTAGGTCAAAAAGTCGTTGCACTTGTCGTCTATCGTGAAATCAAGCCAGATGCCAAAAATGGAAATGGAACACAACAGCCACAAACAGATAAATCATTAGCTCTCAAAAAGTGGTGCGAGAGTAAGTTTGCTTCATATTGCATGCCAAGCATAACAGTTGTGAACAAAATTCCACGAAATCAAATGGGAAAAGTGAACAAAGTAGATCTTTTGGAGGACTTTGTTAAGGCCACGACAACACCAGTCAAATAAATGTGTATTTTGCATCCATGCGACTTTTATATATTATTTTTATAAATTTACTGTTCCTCGGTACCGAGAACTTACTTCCATCATTCTGTCGATATATTTGCAAACAATGTGTTCACTATTGTGGAAGTAATTTCACGGTTAACTAGTCAGTGTAAGGATTTATTCTTATTTCATGACTCATAATAATTTAGAGACATAAAATAACATTAATTGGAGATTTTTGAAGTAGCTCCGAGCATTTTTTCGTTACTGAAACAAAAATTTCATATTTTCATTGATAATTATCGCTAGTTGTATGTTTACAAACTATTATTTTTTTTTTCGATTGTTGATAGTGATTTGATAAACCTGATAAGCTTATTGAATATAATAATAATAGTGCTTTTATTTAGTGAATTATGTTTAGCTACATTTGGAGATATATTTAACACCAACCTTCAAGGTTTTAATTTAAATACCATTTGATTATTAATTAGATTTTGAATGTATGAATTAATTAAATTTGGATGAAAAATGTGAAAAAAAACATCCCATGTGGCAAAAAAAAAAAAAAAGAAAAAAATAAATTATTGGCTTATTGAATAATAAAATAAAGATCATTAAAATATTAAAATTTTAAGACGAAAAACTTTGATATTTTATTTAAAGTGAATATAGAGAAGGCATATTCTGATTATTTTTGTTATTATTATTTTGTACTTTGTTCCTTTCATCTCTCTACATGCGCGTATATATACTTTTTTTTTTCTTAAAAATTTCATGGCCTTGAATTTCCTCTTCTTGTCATTATCATCTACACCGTTAGTAAGATATACAGTAAGAGTTGATTAATAAGGTTTTAGAAGCGCATATTATTAAGATATTTGTTACCAGATCAACTGATCAGCATAAAATTGATTTGATTTTACTGAAGTTTTTAAAAAATGTAACGGTTATTTAAAAATCAAATTGATCAGTGACCTTGAAAAAAGCGGCAAATTGTTTTTTTGCGTTTTATTTTCCAATGAAACAACTTGTTTACTGCCTTTTAATGCAATTGAATTAACATAGTTTAATAATATTATTGCCAGGCAAATCCCCAACGTAAACAGAAATTTCTTTATTTTGCTAGAGTTTTTATAAAAAATCTCAAAAAATTCACCACCCCCCCCCCCCCCCCTTAAAATTTTTCCATACAAAAAATTTTTTTGTCCCCTCCCTCTTCAAATTCCTGGCTATGCACCTGATTATTACTATTCAGATCAAACTCGCAAACAAGCTTCATTTAATGAATATAGCAAATAAATGAATTTATTCTTGGCAAATTGAGTTATAGGTTAGCAAGCATACAGGTTAAAAAACAACAATTTCAAATCTCTTCCTCGAATTGCATCACTTATGCAGTCAAAAAATATTTAAGAGACGAATTAGACGCGTGTAAAAGAGGTGCAAAGTCTCTTTCTTAAAATATCACTTCTTATTCTTGTCGTTAAAAGTAATTAGCAATTTACATTAACACCTGGTACCTGTGATAATCAGATAGATCAGTCCAAGATGTAAATTAATCCCAACTCATATCTACAACACGTGACTTAAAGCCACTGAATGACATTTGCATCATGACCTTTATAATACCAGAAACCACAGAAAGACAATGTGCTTAGTCATGCTACAAATTTGATTCCACTTAGTTCATCTGTACTGATAATAAAGCTTCAATAGAAAATAAAAAGAAGTGAATAAAGTCTAACATCCCACGATACTTTCCACCCATCAAGTTGAATATGGCAATATTCAGTCATTGCATTAAGCTAGCCAAAATTGAGAACTTCACTTGAGTCAAAATGTGCAGTAAAATATTGTTCATAGACCCCAAATGTTTACAGTCTCAAAAATAGATAAAGGAACGAAAACAACCATTTTCATGTGATAAATGAAAAAAATGCGATAAATAAGAAATTTTTTATATGACGATACAGAAAAACATTTAAGAGCTACAAGATGTATGGACGTACAGGTTTTATTTCGCTTTTCTACGATTTATTTTTAGTAACAACGTGCCTTTATTTTTCCTCTTTTTTTTAAGCGGCGCCGAAAGCGTATGCCAAGCATTTGTTCTCTCGTTCTCTCATGTTTTAGTCCGTACTTACATATTCGCCAATGATTACGTCGCAAAATAGATTCATTATTTTGTAGCAGTAATAATAATGATGCTTATTTTTAGCCAGTCTGTATTTAAAGCTCATATGATTTGTGTTTGACATAAGATGTGCATGCACATGTTATAAATAATCAAGATGATTTTATTGAATGACATCAAAACAAAAAGCAAAGGAATGAAATTAAATTCACTTATCGCATTCCTGACGATAGCAAAATAAACAAACAATTGTTGTACTTGATAAGATTGTTTTGCACTTAGTGTTCTTAATGGGATGTACGATTGTGAGAGTGAGATTAGTTTAAATCATTACTTGATAACCGTGTAAATATTGCGGTTATTGCACTGATTTGATGCATACATAGAGAAGTAGAGTTACAAGTTGAAAGAGACACAACTACGATGTCCCAATCTGCAAAGCACTTAAATGTCTGTGGTGGTCTGTGGTACCTTGAATAAGCCAACCGATCTCATTTCTCCTCATAAGATAAAATTTTCTAGGTTGCATAAACTAATCTTAAATTTAACCTGGTCTTAATGCAACTGAACTCCAAAGTAAATGAATCATAAAATTGCAGGCAGAAAGAGAAATTGGACTCTCTCAGCTTACTCACATAAGAAATACAGAAACAAATTGATAAAAGTGAAGTTTGTTTTCTTATACTATATACATGTATAATCTCAGAGATATCTAGTCATAAAATTCTATATTTATAAAGCAATATGATCATGTAAATCGTCAAGTATACGTCTCATGTCAAGCTAGTAGTACATTTGGAATCATTCCGTGAAGTGGTTCGCAGTAAATTCTTCCACAATGGCTGATAATTTAGAATTTAAAAGTCTACATGAATCTTTAATGAAACATTTGCCAATTGATGAATTAAAGGAAGTAAAGAGAATCCTTTATGGACGATCTGATGAGTAAGTAGCTTGAAATTAATTATTAATGGAAATGTTTCACTTAATAGACCCCAATTTTCTCAGTAATGAACTACCAATCAATGAAAAGGCACAGGAAATTGCCAATACAAATAAATTTGAGATCAAGTCATTCAATTTTACTGCCGCAAAGGAGGATCTGAGGAAGCCAAGAATCGTAAAAGTCGGTGCTGTACAAAACTCAATTGCTGCTCCCACAACAGATCCGATTTGTATTCAACGCAATAAATTGTACGAGAAAATTGGAAAAATTATTGATGCCGCTGGTGCCGATAATGTGAATGTATTATGCCTGCAAGAAGCATGGAGTAAAATAAGTCGTAATATTATCACATGAATAAATAATAAATCTTTAATATTTCTTTATAGCGATGCCTTTTGCATTTTGTACTCGTGAAAAACATCCTTGGTGTGAGTTTGCAGAAAGTGCTGAGACCGGACCGACAACTGATTTCCTTAAACAGGTATTAAGAAAATAACCGAAATGTAACATATGAAGCATAAATTATCAATTAAACTTTTCTTTTTCTCGACAGTATGCCAAAAAATACGATATGGTCATCGTTTCACCAATATTGGAACGAGATGAGGAACGTGGTTCTGACATTATTTGGAATACAGCTGTGGTCATTTCAAATACTGGCAATGTCATCGGAAAGCATAGGAAAAATCATATTCCTCGTGTTGGTGACTTTAATGAATCGACATACTATTATGAAGGAAATACAGGACATCCTGTCTTTGAAACCCAATTTGGGAAAATTGCCATCAATATTTGTTATGGTCGTCATCATCCTCAAAATTGGATGATGTTCGGACTTAATGGAGCTGAAATTGTTTTCAATCCAAGTGCAACTGTAAGTTTATGATTTGAGCTTCATGTAAATTAATTTACCTAATTAGGTTAAAAAATTAGATTGGTGCTTTATCGGAACCATTGTGGGGAATTGAAGCTCGAAATGCCGCCATTGCAAATTCTTACTTTGCTGTAGCAGTAAGTAAAAAACTTAACGATTTACATCTTGATTCTAAAATATTCTGGTCATTTATTTTATAGATTAACCGTGTTGGAACTGAATCATTTCCAAATGAATTCACATCTGCTGATGGAAAGCCAGCACATAAAGATTTTGGTCCATTTTATGGATCTTCTTATGTTGCAGCTCCAGATGGATCTCGCTGTCCAAGTTTGTCTCGAAATTCTGATGGACTTTTGATTACTCAAATGGATTTGAACCTTTGTCGTCAAGTTAAGGATAAATGGGGATTCAGAATGACTCAACGACTTGATATGTACGGTGCTAAATTTACTGAAGTTAGCAAGTTGGATTATAAGCCACAAATTATTAGGGAAAAATAATTATAATCTTATCTATATGCTCAATCACTCACACCAATAAATTATATGAACCATAAACAATTATCTTTAAGTCAATTGCTTGATTTTTCAGTTCTATTTTGGAAAGTAAACTTTGAAAATGTCTGGCTGTGCTACTTTTAGCTTATTAAGAGCTAGAAAAAGTAACGAAATTGTTACTTCTAAATTATGTTCGAAAACAAGTACTGAAAGGGTTGTTAAAGTTGCTGCTATGCAGACAGCAATCAGCTATGAAGTTCCTTATTTTATGGATGATCAAGTCATATTTTTTCAAAAAATTGAGGGAATGATTGATTTAAGTGCAAGTCATGGAGCAAATATTATTGCCTTTCCTGAGCTATTTTGTGAGTTTGGTTTTATTATCTGATGTTCTTAATTACATTCTTCAATTTGTAGCTATGCCATATCCATTCCATTCACCAAATTTAATCAACTGGCAAGATTATGCTGAAACAGAAAAAGGAAAAACCTTTCAATTCATGCAAAGAGTAACTTCTTGTCCTTAACTTTCAATTCGGTACATAAAATATAAAATTAAATTTCAGATGAGCCTGAAGCATAACATTGTCATCATTTATTCTATTTTGGAAGTTTCTGATGATAAAAATTATTACATAACATGCTGTGTGGTTTCAAACAGAGGTGAATTTATTGGAAAGTGCAGAAAGCATCACATTCCACCAATTGAAGCATTATACATAACACCTGGTGACTTTGATTCTCCGGTGATTGAGACTGATTATGGAAAAATCGGAATTCTGATTTGTTATGAACGTCATTTTCCATTAAGGTGGTTACTTCTTGCATCAAAAGGAGCTGAAATAATCTTTAGTCCTTCGTCCGAGGATGAAGGTGGATTGTCAGAAAAAGTTTGGGGAATTGAATGTTTTAATGCAGCTGTTGCTAATGGAGTTTATACTGTTGCTATTAATAGATGTGGAACTGAAATGTTTGATGAGAAAAACTTCAAATATTTTGGAAATTCTTATCTAGCTTCTCCTTATGGAAATATCTATTCAATAAATTGTCAATATCAACGTCCACTTGTTGCAGAAATAGATTTAAATACAGTTGGGGATGTAAAGGAAGAATTCTCTTTCCACAAAAATCAGAAATTGTCTGAATATGCTAAAAAGTTAAATGAAATTTATCATAACAAAAAGAAGTAAGGAGATGATTAATAAATTACTAATAATAGCAGCTATTATCAAAATTATATTAAGTAATCAGACATGATTAATCAAATGTTGAACTCTGATAAGACGTCTCTATATAAACAGAGAATCTTGCTTATCTGCTTGTTATGAGTTTGAACGCACTTTCAACTGGCTGACTAAACCTTTACAACATGAAATTTACAGACTCTTGTACCTTATTTTAGAAAACCCAAAAATTAAATTAGGAGTAAAAGATCAAAAAAATATTAAGTTTTAGAAACTTCCAGTTCTATTAAAAATAGACAGTAAGGCAAATTAAATATTCAGATTCTAATTATCAGCCATTAATGAGAGAAATGATTATAAACAGAGAGAATTTTTTATATAAAAAGTATTGACTTTAAAATAAACTTTTCAGTCTTAATTCTGTCCCTCAAAGCTTAATACAGAAGTAAATATACAGCAAGCGACATGTCTGAGTCATTCAATTTAAGAACCCTCGAAGATTGTTTGAAAAATGTTCCGTCTGAGGACTTGAAGGATTTAAAAACTCACATTTATGGTAGATCTGATGATTGTGCACTTCCAATATCTGCAAAAGCTCAAAAATTGGCAGATGAAAATAACTTTGTCATTAAAAGTTATAAGTTTGATGCTATACCGGAAGATATGAGGAAACCACGAATCACAAGAATCGGAGCTACTCAGACATCATTAGCAGCACCAACCACAGATCCTGTATCTTTGCAACGCAAAAAGATTTTCGAAAAAGTCGGTAAAATTATTGATGCCGCTGGTGCCGATAATGTGAATGTATTATGCCTGCAAGAAGCATGGAGTAAAATAAGTCGTAATATTATCACATGAATAAATAATAAATCTTTCATATATTTTTATAGCGATGCCTTTTGCATTTTGTACTCGTGAAAAACATCCTTGGTGTGAGTTTGCAGAAAGTGCTGAGACCGGACCGACAACTGATTTCCTTAAACAGGTATTAAGAAAATAACCGAAATGTAACAAATGAAGCATAAATTATCAATTTAACTTTTCTTTTTCTCGACAGTATGCCAAAAAATACGATATGGTCATCGTTTCACCAATATTGGAACGAGATGAGGAACGTGGTTCTGACATCATCTGGAATACAGCCATTGTCATTTCTAATTCTGGAAATATTATCGGAAAGCATCGCAAAAATCACATTCCTCGTGTTGGTGACTTTAATGAGTCGACATATTATTTTGAAGGCAATACAGGACATCCTGTCTTTGAAACCCAATTTGGGAAAATTGCTATTAACATTTGCTATGGTCGTCATCATCCTCAAAATTGGATGATGTTTGGACTTAATGGAGCTGAAATTGTTTTCAATCCAAGTGCTGAAATTGGGGGAAGTCTAAGTGACAGAATGTGGTTCATTGAGGGTCGTAATGCAGCCGTAGCCAATTCTTTCTTCACTGTTACTGTAATTATCTAATTACTGTTAATTTGCATAACAAATTTATTTATCAAATTAACATAATTGTTTTAATTATTTAATTTACTAGATAAACCGTGTAGGAACTGAAATTTTTCCTAATGAATTTACATCAGCTGACGGCACAAAAGCACATAAAGATATGGGGCCATTTTATGGATCGACTTATCTAGCTACGCCTGAAGGATGTCGTTCACCAGGAATGTCTCGTGATGATGATGGAATTTTAATCTGTGAAGTTGATTTAAATCAATGCCGTCAATCTAGAGATCTTCATACATTTAGAATGTGCCAGAGATTACCAATTTATGCAGAAGGACTTGCCAAAGCCTGTAAATTGGACTTTAAGCCACAAATAATTCGTGAAAATTAAAAAGACATGCTCGATTCTTTTCAAATATATTTTTTTTTTCTTTCTTTTATTCTCTCTGAACACTACAAACTTTTTAAGTTGATTTCTCTTTTTATTATTTTTTTGGCTTATACAAAGACAAATTATAACTACATACTTGCACAATTCACATTAGAATAATTAAATCTCTTCTATAAATTAATCAACAAGTTTTTTTTTTATACAATTCAATAAAGGGCGATTCCATGGGTAAATGGAACTGAAATTTTTTTTTTCAAAAACTTTTTTAGCTTTTTCTGCTTAAATATACATATTTCAACATATCTCTTCACTAAATAAGACTTATTATTCATCAATTCATGTGTTATTAGCATTTAATCGTCTTAATTATGCTGCATTTTGACAAAAATATGTAATATGTTTTGCAATAATCGGTTGAAAGTTGACCGATTAAGTGGTGTTTTCTCCAATTTTCTCCTTAATTACAGTAGAAAGACATACAAATAAGATACTGTTACAAAGCATAGGCGATTTCACGTGTGCTTATCATAGATTTGTAACATAACAATGGATATTCAAAGAAATATTGATGAAATTTTAAAAATCAATTTTGCGTAAAGTTGACCGATTAAGTTTGGTTTTTTTAAAATATCTTTTGTCAGACAGATTTAACTAAAAGATTATGGACTAAAATACATAAAAACCATAATAATAAATAAAATAAATCTTAAATATGGCGTTGAATGAAGTTAATTAAGGAAATATTTACAAAAAGTTGAGTTGAGAAAAAAAAACTCACTCATGGAATCGCCCTAAAGTTGAAAATAAAATTTTATCTAGAGAATGAAATGAATTTTTAGAAATGCAAAAATGGTAAAATTTTGGTTGTTTAAAGCATGGGTTAACTAGTTATGTTCTCATCGTATGCATTATCAAAACTATTAAAATTTTCATCAATTTATGATAAGGTTAAAAAGTAATTTCTATTTTTTTATTTATTTATTTTTTAAATCTTGAAAAGGTACGTTTTGGTTTTTATCCATAATTTATTTTTTGTTATATCTTTCTCAGAAACTTTAATTTCTTTGGATCAAAAGCGATGGAGTAGGGAGAAATTTTAGAAATTTTTTATAATATATTTTTTCATAATTTTTTTGTTGGGAAAAAATAAGTTCATTAAAACTTTTAATTTCAATTGTTTTTCTTTTTTTTTGGATGTTTATCTATGGCACCTAAATGTGTTAAATTTTTAAATCAGGATATCCTTTTATGACTCATTCACATATGACATCCATCATTTAGAGGGGGAACTAGAGTTGTGTGACACTTTAAACAAAAGAAATTTTTTAAATTAAAATTTTAATGATAAAGACGAGTTTAAAACCCTAATTTTGTGATGGATGCCATAAGTGAACGACTTTTAGTCTTTACTATAGTTAACAAATAGAAGTTGGTTGAACTTTTTGATGGAAAGAAGGTTATTTTCGCAATAATTGATGTATGAAATTGGAAATTTTTTCATAAGCTAGGCCTATTTTCATCGATTTGTGTCGATTCCTCCTCACTTTTAGGCAAACTTAAGTCTTGGTTTATGTATATTCTAAGATGTCTATCAAAAAGTACACAAAGAATCATGCAATTTTGAAACTAAACAAGTTCTCGAAGTTTATATCCAAAAAACCACTTTCTTAAGGAATACACAGTATTAAAGATAAAAGCCATCTGTGAAGAATATCGTAGCTATTTACCAATATACACAAGCTACATATACCAAAACCATGTTCAAGAAAAATGAAAATTTTCACCTAAAGATTCGACAGTTTGAGTCAAAATAAACACCCAAATGTGTTTACTCTTGTCCTTGTAAAATATGCAAGGACTCTCAGGTGTGTGTGTGTGTGTGTGTGAATATTTTAGGCATCTGAATATTGAGTGAGATAATCGCTTCTGTAAATTCAATCAATAAATTCCAAACCAACCTCATGAATTATGCATTTTTTTTACGAAAGGAATCAACGAAAATTCTTGACAACTTCTTTTGTTATACATTAAATTCCTCAATAAAAGAGTCATTAGATAATGGTGGCAGTGAAAATTAAGATAAATTTGAGCATAAAAATTATCTAGAAAGGTTAAAAAACAATTTCCTAAATGTATAAAAATAATATATAAGTTATAAGGAAGGATGGAAACATAAAATTTGACTAAAAATGGGAGATTTTTCTCTTTTGTTCATCAAGTAAAAGCACCATTGATTAAGAACAGAATAGAAGAAAGAGAGAGAAGATTCACACGAGAAACATTACTTTTATGATAAAGCTTTCTATTGTACCCATGATGCTGGTGCCCTGTAATGGATGAAAAGTTCTTGAATCACTTTAAAAGATAAAGTCTATTCAAAACTTACCATAAAGACTCATTCTCGGCACGAGTGACTGTTTCAACAAGCTGCTCAAATGCCGTCTCTAAATCCTCATTGATGATAGTTTCATCGAAAAAGTGTCCGTAAAGTTCAATTTTTTTGTGATTCCCACCTGAGCATCTTAGTCAACAAATGGATCAATTAAGACAATACTTTGACACAACTGTATTATTCTGTATATACATAGAAGCGACGCAAGATTTAATAGGATATTGTAACCATAATGATTTCAAAGATTTCCAAAATCTTTTGGAGTACTTGGATCTTAATAAGTCAGTTGTGGAAGCTATGGAATCTTTTAACAAAAAATTTCGCCTAATATTCGACGTGAATGGAATTACTCTTGATGAAACTGGAAAAGAAGTTAGTGTTAAGAAGGAAAACACCTATACATTACAGGAATTACCACCATTTTTATACGTTGTTGCGTCATCAAAACTAAAAGCTCTTAAAAAAGCAATTCCTTTGGATTATTTTTCAATAAACAAATCAGATCATTATCAAAAAGTAAGTTTTTGCATATTTTTATACATATATCATGCTTCTAAATTACATATTTATTTGTCCCATAGATTAATGGAGAATTCTGTTAAATAGATGGAAGAAATCAAGTAATTCAAAAAATATCATGGAAGTTAATACATACTGCAGCGATTCTTCTGACTTTATCAACTTGTCCATCGCTTTTACGACGGGATTACATAAATTGCAGTCATTGAATGAATTGAACACTAGTTTCCTTCATTTAGTTCTCATAAAATCCAAATCATTATTAAATGATTGTGATAACGTACGATTGGAGCCGCTGTCAGATTTTCCGGATGAAATGCTGCCTAACACTGCATACAAAATTAATAACAATAATAACAGTTGCTGCATTCTTGTTTTCTTCGAACGAAGAATTATTGAAAAATTAACAGTCATTTGCAACCAAGGATATTTAATATTGACGGAAAAAAATGGAAAGTTAACATTGGTGAAATATGATGATAAAAAAATTGTTCTCAATTATTTAAACAAGGAGAATATGAATACCTGGATTCAAGTTAATTTAGAAGAGATTCCAATGGAAGTGGATCAGATAAATGAAGAAAGCAAAGATTGCTCAATACAACAAGGATCTCAAAATATGTCGACTATTGACAAATCACCTGAAGTTCAGCAGCGTAATAACCATGAAAATTGTTTAGATATGAATATAACATTTACACCAGAGATATCAATGGATGAGATAAATAGAATGTATCCAGATGCATGCAATTTTTTCCAACAAAACATAGTTATCAAGGGAAATGGACATGAACTGCTTAATAATTCAGGGCATGTTAAAAACATTTCAACACAACATTGGAAGAACAGCACATTCGGACCATTTAAATTGCATAATACATGTCCTGGTCCAAACAAAATTTATAAGTGTCCAATTCCAAACTGTTATGAGAAAATGACTTACTGGTCATTAACTACAGCACATCTAGAAAATCATCATGGATACGAAAAGTTCCTTTGTCCTATTGGATTTCCCAGACACATTGTCCCTGTTGTTTGCAATGAAAGGCACTCAATGATTATTCACATCAAATATGTTCATGATGGATTAAATGTGGATCCAATTAAGATACATACAAGACAATTAACATTTCCATTCACAGTGCTTGCATTAAATTCACATCTAAAACTGTTCGAAGCCGAATTGAATTTCACAAAAGAAAGAATTGAAGCTTGTAAACTTATAAAAGAAAGGGGCTTTACCGAACATCCTGATATTAAGTGGATTACTTTTAATGACTTGACACAAAAAGAAAAAATTAAATTCATGAGTGGTATTAAAGAACGTCATGATGAATCACAGGCGAAAGTAGTCCTTGCTGCGGTGTTGAAATGATGAATATAAAGCAAAAGAAATTTAACGGACATTTCATTTTCAAAAAGAATGAAAGAGACAAAAAAGGGTGTGAAAGAGAAAGGATGAAAGGGGCAATTTTTGGCGGGAAAATTTCCCTATAAAAGGAGCGAATTATTGCAGGGAAATTCATTATTGTTTTGGCAATCGAGCTGAAAACATCTAAAGGAAAGGGTTAAAGATATAAGGATAAAGGAAAAGGGAATGAAAAGGATAAAAGAACAAAAGATAAAGATATAAGGGTAAAGGAAAAGGGAGTAAAAAGGATTAAAGAATCAAAGGTGAATAAAGGACCTATTACCACGGAGATCACGACGGTAAAAGAAGTATCGGACGTAGGGTGGTAGCCATCTATGAAGGAGCGACCCCTAAAGGCTGTGAAGACTCGTGGCAGGCGATCAAGACTGAGGTGGAAGAACGAGAGATTGTATTGCTGACGCATCTCGGAGATAACGAGAACGTGCATAAGGCTGAGAGAGAAGCACACAGAAGTCTAACAGCATAAAGACGAATAAGGGCTTTCCACCCTTGTTCAAGATCTCAACATTTAAGGAGGAGCTGGCAGTGTGCTCAACTCCGAAGGTTATGAAGGAAGATTCGTGGGAGGTGATCAGGAAAGGGATAAAGATAAAAGGAGAAAGGAATAAATACTAAAAAGGGCTTAAAGAGTACTTTTAAGTACTATAAAGATAATTAATAAGTAATAAAGATAAACATAAGGAAAGTCACCACGGAGGAGGTTACAGAAGACCAGTGGGAGCCATTTGAGGAGGAGCTAGCAGTGTGCTCAACCCCAAAGGTTCTGAAGGAAGATTCGTGGGAGGCGATAAAAGCAGTGATAGGGGAACGCGAAGTGGCATTACGTGCACATCTTCGTAACAGTTCAAACGTGCAAAAGGTAGAGAGAGAGG